ACCTTGCTACCTTCCATACACAGATTTCTCTATTTATGCTCGTGAAATCAAGTAGACCCTCTTCTTTCGGTCCTTCCTATGTACTTGCTTTCACAGACATAGATCAAATGATATGCACAGTTGGAGGTGACGTGAGCTAGGTATTTGTCTACTTTCGAATGATTTATTGAGCATAATGTATTGTAAACTGAGGTCAATCTGGCAGCAGGGAAACTCCTTCTCAGTGCAGATTTTATTCCTCTGTCTATTGTTTAAGACGTCTCATCAACTTTGAATGCTCGACAAAGGAAAACACGCTTCTTTTCAACAGTTAGGTGTTTGGGTCTCTCAATAAATTCTTTTCCATGTTTCATGATAACATCTTCGGATATTCATTCCCTACAAGAGCCTTCTCAGTGATACTGAATTCTTCTTGTTGTTTGTCTTTCTAGCTTAGCATTCTTATTCTAGTGAATAGGGTCCTGACTAAACCACGCTCATAGCTGACGTGTCAGAAACTATTGTAGTGAAGGTACTGAAAAATCCACGTATCTTCTCTGCGGATGGTTTTCTCGACTGTTCCTCCACACCACCATCTTATACTCAGATGCAGAAAATTTAATCTCTCTTCATTTCGTATTCCGTTGTAAAAATACATATAGAACAGCTTTGATGCGTGATTTGTGTGATCACAAATAGTGAAAGTATCATCAACATATCTGCGGTAACATATCCTTTCATTGATCTCAAAGTTCAGACATGTTCATTGTAGATGAGCGATGGATACATCAGCTAAGATAGGTCCTAGTGGTGAACCCATAGCCACTCCATCAGTTTACGTGTATTGCTGATTATTAAACTGGAACTGAACACCCTTTGTACTGAGGAGCAGTAATTGTTTGAGTTCTGTTTTCGGTGGTAGGAGTAGATCAGACTGTCGGCAAATTGTCTATCGTTTCATCCACTGGTATATTCGTAAATAATAAGGAAACATCAAATAATATCATGAATTTATTTTAGATATCCACTCAGTCCTTAAGGGAATCGGAGTTTATTCTTCAAGCTTTGGTTCGCAAACCTTTTTCTGATGGGTTCCAATTTCTTCGCTAACCAACACGAATTTGTGACAATGTGAACTGATTATGGACTAAATGGGTCTCAAAGAAACACTCGGTTTTCGGAAGACCAGCATAAAGGGTAGTCGTGAACTTCTTGGTTTGAGTTCATTATAGGTTGTTTTATCATTTAAATGGTTCTTCAAGAGTTCCTTGAGGTGATCGATTACTTTGTTCTCAGTTGAAACTGTTGCATCCATCTGAGATCTGTAACTTTAAATCTCGACAAATCACCCGAAATCATCAGCACTTTGTTACAAGCAGTCATTTTTATTGATTATAATGACACCAAAACCTATCAGGTCTAGTTATAACAACTTCGTCATTCTTATGGAGCTTTTTCAGCGTGATATATGCTCCTTAGTTATGAAGTTAGTATTAGTTTTCAAGTTACATTTCTGTATCAGTTCGATTAAAACGTTCGTATGGGATATGAAACTTAAATACAAAAGTGTGATTTTGGAAAGATTATATGTATACTTTTCTGGATTTTTAAGAAATCCTTCATGTATTTTCTTTGTCATTAAATATTTTATGAGTTTATTGTCACAGCTTCTAGACATCTTCTACTGTGGCTTATGGATAAAATTAATAAGCTTTATACAACAAACAATATTTAGGTCATCGAGAAGACCCTTAAGCATAGATAGCTGAGATTTCAGTATGGAAATGTTTCTATTCGATGTCAGATATCAGTTAAAAACTGTAATTGCAATGTTAAATTATTAACAGTCTTCTGCTAATGTAGTAATTTCATCTGACTGAAAGAAAAAGAATAAAAATGAATGTACTAGTGGACCCAATTTCTAGTAACTATCTGGTTAAATGAATTCAGTCTAAACACCATATGAATGGTAGATACAACAAATTGGATTAAATGTTATTGCTTGGGAGGCAGGTACATCCAGCTGACCAGTGAGTCCCAAATAGGACGAAATGCTCATCCTGGATTCCACTGCTAGCCACGATTCATTATTAATCTAATTAGAACGCAGGCAATATCGAGACATTTGCACAGGAGCCCATATGTTAATAGAGACCGATCAACTCGGTCCAATCAACGACGGTGTAATACAAGCAATAATACTAAAATTATACCCGTCGCACAAGAAGTGGCTATCGTGGCTCGGTCGTGTAGTGGATAACGCTCTGGCGTTTGAAGCGATCGCTCCCGAGTCTCGGTGGGAACAACATCACTCACTGGGAGGCAGGTAAATCCAGCTGACGAGTCCCAAATAGGACGAAATGCGCATCCTGGATTCCACTGCTAGCTATGATCCATCATTAAACTGGATTAAATTAAAATTTATTACTCATTATCTATTGTTATTGTTTTCATAATGTTCACATCGTATTCTGTTTGTCAGTTTCTACGAGGCTAGGGCGATTCGTGTTCACGATGTCTTCAATTATAGTACTCCTTATCTCTCCATTGTTACCTCTTTGCAACCACGTAGGATAGTGTTCTTGAACCCTTTAAGATAATAGTCGCATCGAATGACCTATATACCTGGCTCCACAAGAGCAGGTGAATTGATATATGCACATAGAAGTGATCAGATGTGAAAGTTTCTCCTTTGAGTTGTTGGAATTCGTTGCACGACAAGAAAATACTGGTCTCAACATTGATGCAAAGAATGTTCTTCTTTGAGCGTTTGATATCCTCCTTTTTAGTGTCAGCAGCAGAATCACCTTTGAAGTTTAGATTCATATAGTGTATCTTTTTTGGCACGGTGGTAAGGTTCTCTTTGCGAGGTTTAGGCTGAATGTGTTTATCTATGAAGAGTGGTAGGAATCCGTTTTCAATCAGGATGCTCTTTAGAGCAGAAATTCCCTCTTCTAACATGTGGGGACTGCATGTTCGTCTAATGTGAGTGGCAAGAGATATGATCAGATTTCGCTTACAACTCATTGGGACCCAGTTATTAAAGTTCGTCAGTTGACCATTCCATATTGACTTTCTGTGAATTAATCTACTTAACGTTCTATCAGCTGTTCTTATCATCTCTACATCAAGAAAGTGGATTTTCGATTGGTTTTCGACCTCGAGGATGGATCTTATTGCTGAATGTCAGTTGTTGGATATTTGTAGGACGTGATTTAAATTATATTGATGATCGCAGATAATAAAAGTATCGTCTATGTACCTTTTTTGCAGCTGGAAACCTTCAATCATTTACTTCAAGGGTCCGTTCTCCAAACTGGACATAAAGCAGTCTGCTAGTAGTGAGCCTAGTGAGGATCCCATGACGATTCTATCTTTCTGTCTATAAATTACGTCTTTAAATGTGAACTGAGCGTTGAATGTGCATCTAAGTAACAATTCCTTGAGTCGATGTTGGGGAGGGGGGGGGAGGGTTATGATGCGGAGTTGTGAGAACGAACGGTAATACTGAACGATCGGTAGTCGAGGATTCAGACGATGCAAGCCGAGTGATTCACAAAGAGAAGTCAAAAGACTGGAAACCAGATGAGTTTTTAGTATCTCGAACTGAAGCGTATATAAATGAAAACTAAACCTATTTATAGAGAATTACAGTAACCTTGAAAGACAAGGAATCGTTGGTCCATTTAAAGAGACATGAGCCAATGAGAACAATAGCGGGTTATACGAAATATGACCCATGCGCGGTAAAAGAGCGCAAATAAACAATTCAAATATATGCGAAACTGTAAGTATACAATATAAGGGATATTGGCATCCCTAACAGGGTTGGTATCTTGACATTTATGGAGGGTAATATCAAGTAAGTGGAACATTGGTGAAAAGTGACACTGCATCAAGTGATATCATACATTTATTAGATACGTCTTCATCTTTTATGCAACCAACAAATTCAAAAGTATGATACAGAGAGTGGATGGCGATTTGTGGTCATTAACTGAAATCCACAGGAAACTAAGTAATAAACATAGTCTTCTCGATCATTAAACCTTTATCATGTAGATCACTAAGTCTCTCTGATGGTCATCTTAACCACTGTTTGGATCAGTTTGAAGATAACAGAGACTATCTAGTCTCTTATGTAATATAAATACAAATTACACTTATTATTAATAAAAACATAAAACTGGGATGTGATACAGTGTTACTGTTATCTCGGATTCTTTCGCTTTTAGCAGTAGTAAAGTTTTTCACATCTTCGGTGTATATGTTGCGTCATTCCTATTATATGTGTTAGGTAATTCAATGAACAAAGGTTTAATAAACAATCTATTTCTCACCCAACCTATTGGAAAAGGAATTTTTCTTCCCTTAGTTTTCTTTTGTTAATTTTTCATTATCTAATGGGATTATTTCGAATGTTATGCGCAGTTGTTTGATTGCACCCTATTGTTTATATGTATTAGTATGTACATTGCAATGCTTTTATAATGTTATTATTAGTTGATAAAAGGTATCAGTTGGTTGGAGGGTCATTCTAATGTTTACGGATATAAGAGCAATGCAGAATTCACGAAATCCTCAAAACTTAATAACAATTTCTGTTATCATTTTAAGCTATTCATTTTCCATTTTACCGGGATATTTCGGGCTATTTTTTAAAATTCTAAATATTCTTAACATCTTTATTTCCAAATGGACTTTTTTCCGCTGAACATTACAACAGGTATAACATGTTTTCAGGTGTCATGTTGAATATATCAATCCTAATCTGTTATAATCTGCATGATTATGTGCAAAAACATTCCCTTATTTAATTTCTTGATTATTGGTTATTCTGTAAGCAGGAAGACAATTTGAAGTTAACTAGTACCCACACTTGTGTATATGTTCATGATTTTTCTAGTTCTGAGCAGTTCGAGAGCGAAATAATCTGACAAGCTAATATATTTTCTGAAAAATTCCTCTTTAATTCAAATGAATTAAATAGATAATATTCTACTTACTATTATTATTCACAGGTGATCCATTTTTATACCATGGCAGTCATATTGTTACACTTTGTCATCCAACAGACACATTCCCCAACCCACAATTACTGGCTAAGTTGCGCATTGCAAATGGTTTAAAGAAAAAACTAGTTCTAGCTACACTTCGTACTGCAGAAGAGTTTAACAAGGATTTTATGCAGCGAGTTAACAAAATGAATAACTATGACAAAAAAAGCACCGATGTTGTTCCTGATACCAGTACTATTAGATCATCACATGAAACAGTCCATGATGAGTATTATGAAAAAATATCCGAACAGTTGAATGAAATTGTCCCTGAAGTCAACATCGATAGTAAGAAAAATTATAACACCAGCAACAGTTCTGATGTAATCTATTTATCTTTACAGTATATGTCAACTCACTCTAATAATCCAGTTTTTCCAAAATTAATATCACACCAACCAAAACCATAGTGATACACATATAATATGCTTGTGTAAATAAAAATTTTAAGAAAAATATATAATTTTGCTGAATTTTTAATCTTTTACCTCAGTACTGTGATGTCATACTTTAATAATGTACTGCTTGAATTGTCTAATATCTTGTGAGTATTTGGAAATATTCCGAGTTGTTATACATCGTAGACTGACATCAGTTGGAGGAACAAAGGAAACCTGGGGACACTGGACAGTTGTTTCGTCCTAGTATGGGACTCCTCTGCAGTGCGTACCCACGACCCCGCCCGCCAATGACCGAACTCGCTGCCATCAAGTTCTGTGGTCAGCACGTTACCATTGAGCCACTGGGTCAGAATCCATTGCTCCATATTTACAACCTCTGTTAGCTCACGATATGGTGCAACCGCCACCCAATGTCATCGTTGAGTAACTGTCCTCACGACCATAAGGCTTTGCCCCCACCAGTGCTAACAGAAGTTGGAAATATGGAGCAATGGATTCTGACCCAGTGGCTCAACGGTAACGTGCTGACCACAAAACCTGATGGTCGTGTGTTCGATTTTTGGCGTACGGGGTCGTGGGTGCGCACTGCTGAGGAGCCCCATACTAGGACGAAACAGCTGTCCAGTGCTTCCAGGTTTCCTTTGTTCCTCCAACTGGTGTCAGTCTATCATGAATAACTAAAAGTAGAAGTATTAGAATTTGTTTCATCTATTGCTCCCAAGTTACCTGTTGATTCCACCTCTCTCTCTTACCTACCTACCTACCTACCTACCTACCTACCTACCTACCTACCTACCTACCTACCTACCTACCTACCTACCTACCTACCTACCTACCTACCTACCTACCTACCTACCTACCTACCTACCTACCTACCTACCTACCTACCTACCTACCTACCTACCTACCTACCTACCTACCTACCTACCTACCTACCTACCTACCTACCTACCTACCTACCTACCTACCTACCTACCTACCTACCTACCTACCTACCTACCTACCTACCTACCTACCTACCTACCTACCTAAGATGTCAAAACCGGTAGCACTCATACACGTATGATTGAATTGACTTTTTTATTGTAAACACGTCTAACCTTCAGTTGGTCAGAATTGTGTGACTTAGGATGACCGTGTGATGGTCCACCATATTACCACACCTCATATCGGTACATTAACCTAGAAGGCAAAAGATGAAAGATGAACAAATTAGGAAAAAAATAATAAAGGTGATGGTAAGTTGTGAAAAAGGAATACTGAAGAGTAAACCAACACTGAAAGTGGGTATGACGATTAAGATAACAGGCAGATGGCCTTGCGTCACTGAGTTTGATTCTGAGCCACCATCTAGTCGTCAACCACTGGTTTGTCACGTGGTACCCAAGATGTCTCAGACCAATAGTCAGAGAATTTGTGGACTGATGTCATGTTCCAGTCTATCTGTCTCTTTTTTCAACCTAAACATACTTCAGCTAACATTGTGCGACGTGACAGACTGTGACTAGACATTCGTAACATTTGCCCCAGGAATCTGAGTTTATGAAGGTCTACAACCTTTTTGGTTAACTTGTATCAACCCAAAACTTCACACCCGACTTCTACATTAATTGACATGGTGGTGCCAGGACTTGACCTATACTACAAAGGAAAAGCGGTCAAACTCTTGTAGCCGTCTGATGTTCTGCACTTATAATGGTCATCTTTCATAGCCACATGGTGGAACAGAACAGACTGCAGTGCATTACACTCGATCTTTAATAGACAATCATCATGGTGACACCTTAGATGTGAATTAAGTGTAAATTTGTGAAGTCTAAGTGGGTCTTTGGCATCCGTGCAGAGATCTAGTCGGTCACTGACTCATTTAAGTTGATCCGACTTTCCAGGCAGGTGAGGTGGTCAACGCGCTCAACCAGTCCTATCCTCATTGTTAGGCAAGGCACCAACACATCAATTCTGGAGTAACAGCTTGGTTTTGTGTGGTGAGAAACGTACACCAAAATTTCCCAAATTATCACTCAAGTTGTCCCGTAGACTGCATCTTGTCAGTATCCTCACCTAAAAGTACCATGTCGTCCATGTATTCTAGGTTTACTAAGGAGCTTCTTGTGACAAGGTCAACTCCTGTAAAGTCAGATGAGAAGAGGAAAATCTTCATAAGTATGTCTTGAACAAAATTAGATAAAAGTGAGGAGAAAGAAGATATCCTCGAGGAACACCAGTGGATATACATAAGTCACCTGACACCCCATCATAGGCTATGGCACTCTCACAGATGTTCGGATGCAGAACCTTCCAAACGGTGATGTACATACCCGGAATCCCTTTCAGCGAGAGACGTCTGGATCAACGGTGTTAAATGCCACCTTCAAGTTAAGAAATGCAGCTAGTGCCAGGCACTGGTAGGTGTACCTATATTTCAAAACCTAGCCCAGGGTTGGTTGGTATTTGTTGAGTGATAAGTGTGAGATATAGCCGGTCTTAGTAGGGTAACCCAGGCCAGGCACTCGCTGCGTTCTCTGTCAACGAGGTAAGGGTGGATACGCAGGACTTTAGGGCCTCCTCCATCAATAGGAATGCATGGTCTGTTGTGTACGCCATTGTCATTCACATGTGCTTAGCTAGAAGCCGTCCCACTGATCAGTTTTGTTTGGATGACGTGAAAAAATAGTTGAGACCTGTAAAACCTAATTGGTTTCTATGACATCTCTGCATTTAGGGTTTGTTTTGATCCTTATCATATCAAATCTATTCATTTTTGTTTATTCCTCTTTGTTCTATAAATTTCCATAGTTGTTTATCGTATTGTTTTTATTTCTCTGTCTTTCATCTTTTACCTTAATGATGGCTAGTTAAATTGTTCGGCCGAAATTAGTCAACGGTCTTGATAACCCATTGAAAAACCGGAGTTCACTTGGTATTTTTGAAAGCTGTAGGTTTCAGGCAGCAAATGTATTTCAGCTGTGATGATTGTTTGGCCTTCTCTGAGCTTTCAGGTTTGTTTTACGACGTTTCATCAGCAGTTACTTCATAATGATGGTGTATAAATTACCTGAAATTCACGAACCTAGCCTATGAGTGCACTTTTATCTTGGACATATTCGGTTAGTTCCATCACGTTAGGAGATAGTATGATGATTAGGTGATATACTTTTATCATTATAAAAGGTAAATTCTGAGGGACTTATCACTCAGAAGAGAAAACAATCAGTGGTTTCTGTGGCTGTGATCTCGCTGTTCATTAACATCCTCTTATTGGATGCCGTTAGTTTCATTTGCGGATCAGTACAATGGCGTGAAATATGCGTAAGTATGCCAGTTTAAACCGCATGATAAGTGTTACTTTATTGTACAATGAATGTTCCAGAGGTAATATTCATTACGGATTGACATCAACTGGAAAAAAGTTAGAAACCTGGGGGTACTGGGCATTTGTTTCTTCCTAGTATGGGTCTCAACGGGACCCATCCATTCCCCCACCAATGACTGAACTTAGGGTCTTCGGGTTTGTCAGAGTACTTGTTAACCAACCATCAATAGGATCTAAGTCCAGTGGTCCACAGTTTTCTACTTCTTTAAACCCGCAATATAGCTAGACTAACCTCCAAGACCTTCAGTTGGCATCTACTTCACTTCTGGCCTGGTTTAACTCACAGGTCATCACTTCTCATTAGAACTTCTGGATATCTATCTCGAAGCATGTCACTAATGAGCACTATACGGTAATGTAGTTTGAGGTTTACCTGAATTTTGTTTCCAGTTATTACTGATTATGGACTAACGTCAGGTGCGTACTGCGGAGGGATGCCATACTGGTACGAAACAGTTGTCCAGTGCTCCCAGGTTTTCAATGGTCCGCTAACTGATGTCACTTTGTGACGAATACTACCTTGAAGTAACATCCCTATAAAACTCAAACCATGTAATTTCAATAACAAATGAAATATATTTGTAAAATCCCAATGGATTAGGAAGACATTTCGCAACTTCGTGGAAATCGCTTCTTCTGGGAATAAAACCTGTTCAAGTTACCGGTTTTTTTTAATAGTTAATGATGACGAATCAGATCACATTATGTATACATGATAATAATATGAACATAAATATCATTGTTATGTTAGTCAGGAAGCGTTCATACTTGTCTTTGTTATCCATTAATTAGTCTAGAGTTAGAGGTGATGTGAATATGTGCACATATGACTGACTGGGTGTCAGTGTGTAAAAAAATGCTACGTATGACGAATTCGGTTTGTTTGTATGTATAGAATTTTGTTAAGATCATTGTATGTGTTATGCTGTCTCTGGAACTACTGTCCAGCTTGGTTGGGTACAACATAATGTGATAGATGACGACTTGATTTGTAAATCCTCTAGTTCTACGGTCGTTTTTTGTAACTTGCATGTTATTTAGCCTGAATAAAGATCTCACGGGATGATTACTCAGTGTAATGAGCATCACAACCGACGCAGCTTAACTTGCAGACATAATTCTGTGTCGAAGTAAAAGGAATTTTATCGTTCGAGTGGAATAGAGTATTCCTGAGAGTGCAAGTTGTCTTCTAAAAGGCTCTAATTCGGTGCTTCCTTAAGATTCTTTGTAGCACTTCAGTTGTTTCCAGGGGGAAATGGTAGAACTGTTGTTTCAGTTTAGTAATACAATCGGTCGTAAGATAAGTGTTGGTGAATTCTTCATTAAACTCCCTTTCACCTAATATGTTGATAATAAATCCGGTAAATAGACGCCTGCATAACCCTACAAGCTTATTGTCGTTATACTGCATATGGAATGATCACATTCATTTTGTACAGTAATATTGCCTATTTTGAAATTCCCTCCACTTTAATATAAAAGGAATAGGATTCCTACTGTAATGTTTCAAGTTAGGAATATTTAGATGGCATGAAGTAAAAACAGATAACTCTTTATTTGAAAAGGATGATCCATAGAAGTTCGTCAAACTTGCTGGGATGCATTTGTCTTGATAAAAGCGCTCACAGATGTCATCAGCTAAAAAAAATGGTTGTTTCTCATTCAAGCATTCAAGGATGCGTCTAAAAAATAACTGGTAATAAAGTTTTCACATTCATATCTCTTCATGCGACCTTAATACAGATAAAGTAGTATCTGCTGTGTCTGACCATTCAGTAAAACATTCCAACAAGTACACTATCACTTTCCTGAGAATTTCCCGAAACTCCTAGGTGACGTTCACCAAAGACTCAGCGATTTCTCGCCTCATGAAAATCTAGTTATTATCTCGTACAAGGATTCATTGCAGTCTTCTAGCTTTGAATGCTTCTGTTTTCTCTTATCATATCGGAAGTAACAGTCATTGTTATTTTCCAACTGAACTACTATGTATATCGGTTGTTTGTTTGATCGGCTGCCTACCCATTATCTTGATTTTACCTTCAGATATAATTACAATGAATCTCCTTTCCCAACGGACCTGAATAACCTTGAATATTACTTTTATTTTACACTTGATGGGATACGAGGTGTTTTATAATGTAACTGTTCTGTGATGAAGTTTTCTTTTATAACCATCAAAACATAGACTAGTCCTCTCACACATCTAAGGTGGCCAAACAGCTAGAGGGTAAACACTTGCGTACCCCTGGTACTATCATAAACAAGTACGCCGACTTGTAGCCAAACGACGTACTTGCTGAAGCTAATATTGGCTAGGCAATAAATCATTAGCTAAACGAATGGTTTGGGACTTGGAGAATTAACAGTGATAAATTGACGTTTTGGTTAGTGCTATCAAACCTTATAATTTTAAAAATTGGTGGCTGCAACTGAGTGAGCTCATTAAAAAGCAATAAACAAATTTGAATATCACAACATTGGTCTATCATTTTGTAAGTTGATGTAATCAGTCCAACTGAAACCACAATTAACGGTATTCATATTTCAGACTCTATTGTATGGATATTTTATCTATGCATTTGTTTTACAGTAGCAGAATACATGAATTTTTAGTGGGAATCGTGTATGCATTCTATTTTTATTTGCTTATCGAATGCTTCATCGAACACTTTCATTTAAAGACTTCAAAACGTATCTGTAAGTAGTTCGTTTTTTCACATTAACATCAAATTTCCTTCTTACCATCAAACAGACAAATCGTCATCGAACGTAAGAACAGTACGTTGTTTCAAGATGCCAACATCCGATGGAAGCAGATGAAAAAGTGTTCCAGCTTTTGAATGGGACAAAAATTTACAAATCTGCTTAGTGTGACCGATTTTCATCCATGTCAGTAACAGTCCCCAACCATTGATTCATATCATTTCGAGGAATATAACCAAGCAGTATACACCTCCCTACACGCCTCACACCTGCAGTCAAAGACTTCACCGACTAGTGCCAAGTCTTATTCTGGCAACCTTCAGCTTACTTCCAACCCAATACAACTTCGGTTAACATTGCACGTCAAGGTAGGCAGTGGCTCGGCATGCAAAACACGTGTCTAACCCATCTCAGTCGCTTAACGTTCACAATCTCTTTCAGTGACTTGTCTGGTACCCTTCAACTAATCCTGACATCGCTCACATGGTCATTGCTCAGTACGTGAGCAAGATTGCAAAACCACTTGTGATCAAAAATCCGTAACCTCTTCACATCTGCTTTCATTTCAACAGCAAAACCATATATAAGACAAGGCGAACTACAGTGCAGTATACTTATCCTAATAAAGGACGAGTAGGATGTCTTGTGGGCACCATCGATGACGCAAGTTGGCGAATGGTCTTCTGTATGAGAGCTGAATTTACGTCAGCAACGGAACAATTTGAGCGTATGCAACTTCAAAGTGAGTGAAATGATCGACGCCTTCCACCACTTCATTGTGTATCCTCAAGCTGTGACTATGTGTGGACCATTCTTGAAGCATACTATCCTATTCTGAAGATGCAAAGCGTGTGCCAAAAATATGCACAGATTTCTCTTCAAGGTGTTCAGAGAACTCAATTTTATCAGTGTCTTCGCCTAGCAGAACAACGTGAATTCAAACGACAACTATCCATAAGCGCTAACACAGCTGTGTGAGCACCAGTAGAGAGCTTTGATTAGCATTGCATACTTGTCAGTACTCTCTAACCAGTTATACAATGCTACAACACGTCTCTATCGACAGTCGATTGCCTCGTTCACGTCAAGAACTATGGCAAGTGTCAGTTGCTAGTAAGTGTGTCTATGCTCTAAGATCTGTCAAAGGGTGAATATCTGATCGATACACTCTCGTCCATATCTGAAACGTGTTGAGTTTTCCTGGGTTCCAGGTGGGCATCAGATAACTATGGAGGCTAGGATCTCGGACAAAACGGTAGTGAGACTGATCCCCCTATGCTTATAACAAGAACACTTGTATCTTCTTTTGTGAGCTGGGAAAATAAACAATATAGACGAGTTTGATGAGACTGCTTCTGATTGGTATGCACTAGGTAGTATCTCAGCTATTCTACTCAGTAATTTACTACTTCTATCTTTCAAATTTTTTGTGACAAGCTATTGCACTGCATCGTTTTAGGTTTGTAAGAGTCTCTTCATCTTCTGGAAGTTCATCATTGTTACATTGTAGTATAACTAGAACGAATACAGTTTTTGTTTATTTGGTAAATAAACCAAATTATTGTTCATGCGAACTGCGTAATAAGCAACTGGAAGTTCCATAGAACAATTGTCATTTTAAGGAAGACCGTCACAACCTAAGTATCTGAATTAGATTTATGTATGTTTTTATGTAAATTACTACTCTTTCTATCTGTTACTTAGTGCATAACTCAAAAATCTATTTTTTGCATATTTCAGAATTTTCAGGTATCTGAAGTCGTTGGATGTTTTCATCTGTATCTTGTTGGACAATTGAACATTAGGATGTTTATTCAAGTTTTATTTACATCAATCTGAATACATGGATGAAAATGAAAATTGGTTTGAAGATGATGATGCTGGGGATATTGGAGATTGGCAGCATTATGTGGACACAGATGCTGAAGAAACGGACTTTGTTGATTATGATGAATATTTTGGAGGAAATATGTTATCAGTCAAGTCTCTGATTTCAGAAGTGTTAACGTGCTCCATACCAGTCATAGAACAAGCTTATTGGCTACTTTTTCTAATACTCAGTTCGTGTCTATTATGGCATTTCGCATACGTTATATTGAATAAATGTTTTGCTTGCAATGGTACGTGTTATCTGCATGTGTTATATATATGTGTATCACCAATCGACTGGGTACAAGTGTTTATGCATAATTTGTGGTACGGGTTTTTTGTTCCTTCTCACCAATCACATTTATCTAACTAATCGTAATGGACTTCACGACAAAGATTGAACCTCATTATTGTATAAAATCATGCACTAAGCATAGTTGACGGAGAAATGTCACAAATAGAACATAATATTTTAAAATGACAGGTTGAATCTCTAAATATATTTTTCTATGCTGCTAAGCATTTTTCATACAGTTCATATGTATAAACGGTGGATAGTATTTGTATATAAGGATATAGATGTTCAGATTGGGTTGTTCTGTGGACTGGCTTCTTGATGTATAATGTCTCAGTGCTTTACGTGGAGTCAAATCGAAATAGATGGGACTCAAATAAAGTAGCATGCTGTAAATTTCCATGCACCGTCAATTTACTTCACTTCCTCATCAACCTCTGATGAAGACATCTGGTATGACAGTAAAAATTTCAGCAGCGTGAGTCCTATCTCTAAGAACATTTTTCATTGTATCTCTTGAAGTTTGGTCCATCTTTTGTTTAAAAGAATCTCAACTCCTTTTTCTTCCATACAGCTATTAATTTATACTGGATGATGATTCAAGGTGAAATGAAAATTTGAACCGCGGTCGGATTCGAATTAATGACCACTGAGTTTTCGGCCCGGTGCTCTACTAACTGAGCTACGAGGTCTGACTTCTGATTAGATTTCTATTTCACTTCAATCACCAAGAGTTTCGCCCGACTGCCATGTGAATTTGTTGTGACGCGTTACTATTGTTTGAAAATCTGGACTGCTGTCGGGTTCGAACCAGCGATCACCAGGTTTTCGGCTATTTACTAGTTGAACACTCATAATAACGAGCCAACTAACTGCGAATATGCTCATTCTAATTCTATAGCAAACGTCTTCCGGAATACAAACAATTTCATAGTAGTCAACACCTCAAAACTTCGTTATTTGGGATGAAACTTATCATAGCTGTCTACTGATCCACGAAGTTTTTAATATGATGTCACGAAGCGATAGTCTGCTATTGTAATACTAATATTAGAAACCAGTTTTCCTATATTTGATTACAAGTCGTATTATTTAGTATCAGAATAATGACATACTGAATTGATAAACTCAGAGTAAAACGAAGTTTATTTATGAAAATGACCCCATTTTTGTGTAAAAAGTCACCTAGCGCAACAGAAATAACAGTTTCATTTTAAAATGAGTCAGTCAATACTAACGCGTAACTTGATGTTATTTCACAATGATGCAAGCCTCCACAACTTGAAAGCGAAATAAAGAAGACGGTAATTTAAAGTAGTAGAAAGAGAGACAGATGAGGTCAAACGATGACAAAATCTCATATGATGATTACATAAGCTTCATTCATGGATTCATCTGAGCGCCAATAAGGTACATTTTTAGCCATGCATGATGCGTAGAGTTTCGAACAATCGACTTACATTCTCGTTTTTGAATGCTCACAAATTATGCACTCGATCGATAGGGCTAACTTGTGGATTCAAGCTGGTAAAAAGTTAGAGGTGGACAGATTGAAATATGACATCAGTCCACAAATTCTTTGACTGCTGATTCGAGCTATGTTGTGAAACATAGACTTTCAGGTTGGGATCTGCGTAACTACTACTGAAATCGGTGGTTCAAGACTAGGTAATGGCTCAGAATCAACCTTAGTGACCCAAGTGCATCCATCTGTTGTCGTAATCGTCGTACCGAATTTCATCATTGATTTATTACTATTTTGACTACTTGAGACAGCGATGGTTTAGCAGACTAGTATTGATACTGAGTGATGATTGGAGATGAAATGAAAATTTGGGCTGCAGCGGGATTCGAACTAGTGACTATCAGGTTTCCGGCCCAGTGCTCCACCAACTGAGCTACGATGCCTGACTGCGATTTATTTATTCTTTATAGCTCCCTTTCCACAACTTTCTATCATCTTTATTACTTCCTTCCTAATATGTTCATCTTTTTGCCTTCTACGTTAATGTTATGAAGTGAGGTGTGGCAATATAGACCTTTACACTTTGATACCAAGTCTCATGTTGCCATTGACTGATGATCGGTATGAATGTACTTTTCTGCAATCCAACTTCAGGTGTAGCATTAATTTTTCTAATATGGCTTACTTACGGATACTGTTAGAAATGTAATTTGGCGTTATGTTGTTCCTGGTGACTTTAATTCAATAACCTACACATTACATTATTATTTGTCCCTTGGGTTCCTAATGGAACATAGGGCTTCAGTAGCACGTCTGCAGTGCACTCTGTTCTCTGCAATCTTTTCAACCTGGCTCCACGACTGCCCACAAGCTCTCATTTCTTCCTCACTTCACCTCCTCCATGTCACCCTCACCTCGGACGCCCAACTCGTCGTTTCTCATTTCGATTCCATATACTTTTCGCTGAGTGCAGATCTCCACACTGGTTTCAGGTTAATGAAGGCCTGTCTTGCTTTTCCGATCCTGGCCGCCTTGACATCCTCGTCCGTGCCACTACCTGTAGTTGAAACAGTGCTTCCTAGATAGGTGAAGGAGGTTACTTCCTTCAAGTTCCTCCCGTTGATGGTGATTGGAGTTCGTTGTTGTTGTTGGAGTTGTTGGTTGGGTATCTTCATCATCTCCGTCTTCTCTACGTTCACTTGAAAGAAGTGCCGTCTTCGCTGCCTCACCTCTTCTGTCAACTTGTTCCATTTCGCCTGTAGATCATCAAGTTTGTATGACATCAAACACAAGTCATCGGCGAGATCTAAATGTTCTAGATTCTTTTCCACAGTCCAGCGTATCCTCCTCTTCTCCCTCCCCACTGTTTGTTGCATAATCCAGTCGAGTCGACCACAATCAGGAAGATGATCGGTGATAGTAGATAGTCTTGTTTCACTCCTGTCTTCACTTCAAAAGCATCATTGAGCTGAGTTTCCCATTGTGAATTACTTGGCATGTGGCGTCTTCATATATTTGTTGAATGAGGTTGATGAAGGTTTGCGGTATTCTGTAGTATCGAAGCAGTTTCCAAATTACTTGTCGGTCGACGCTGTCAAAGGCCTTTTCATAGTCGATGAAGTTGAGGTGTAGAGTTGACTGTCATTCTATACTTTGATCTATGATGATGCGTAACGAAGCGTTGCAATTTGGTCGGCACATGATTTGTATTTCCTGAATCCAGCCAGCCTGTTCTGGTCATAGTTTTGAATCCAGTTCATCCTTTAGTCTCTCCAGGATGATGCGGCAATAACCTACACATATTTACTGATAATTCTTACTTTTTAAAACAACATCATTTTACAGAGTTACTTATCTATTTTATGATTTACCTTTTTATTGTTAATGCGGATATTGCGTTTATTTCTGGCATTTTATCATAGGAAAAATTTACCGTACATTTGTCACAATATTCCTTCATATCCTGTCTATATGTCTTGGTAAGTACCTTTTTTCCACGTTTTCTGTATACTATATAGTTTAAATGAATTGACGATTGTTGGGTAATCATAGCTTTGAAAGATATTCATCTGCAATGATTTCTGTAGGCTTGAAACCGTCAGCTTCTTGTGACTTTATTAGACTTTGTTATGTTCTTAATATAAATCTTAATAGCCAGTTTTCTTCATCAATCTATTAATCATCATGTAGTCACACCAGTTGTGTGGATAGGCAAATAAATTCGTAGGTATTACTGTGCAGTATATTATTGACAACTTGTCCGTAAGTTTTCAACATAACATGCTCTTACTGTCCATCGAATATATTCAAAGAAAGTTTGTGTTAATCCATCATTATTTATAAGATTTCGAACGGAATCTAAAAAATTAGTTTGGTTGTCTTAAGTGAATATTTAGACAAGTTCTAGGTCCTCATTAATTAAGTAGTTTTTCTGATCTCAGTATGTGTGTAATAAGAATGTAAGCTTCTATCCACCAATTAGAAGCTGATTGGCTGAACTGCCATCTAATCATGAAATATATTTCACAGTTTATCATAATAGAAAATTAGTAATTCAGTATATTTCCTTTACAGATTTTCTTTATCCGCTTTTTTAGAAGTTAATATTAGTGCCTACTGGATTGAATTCTTCGTTTCTTTGAACATGCTTGTAAATTTACTTTCATGATACAGTATTATCAATTCGTTTCTTATTCTGCCTTCTTAACTCAGAATGCATTTTATTACTATTATGATTTGAGTTTTCTAGTCAATAATTTCCTCGTCTTTTGGGATTGGTAACGTTATAGTTTTTTATTGACTTTGATTCCCTCCAACTTTTGTGATCTAAGATATATCAACTTTAATTGCGTTTACTCCACTAGTTGTTGTTGTTGTTATCTGATTAAGATACGTTGAAAATTGTCAAAAAAGTTATCTGTCATGATCTACCTAACAAAAGTTAACAGTTATGTAAGGGCACTGTGGTAGAGTATAATTCTATATTAGATTGTCTATTTGATATAGCATACAGTGACAGTATAATTGACCTGATGATATTTCGAGCAGAACTTATTACTCCTAGTAGAATGTATGGTGCCATTAAGGTTCATAAAACAGGTTATCATATTAGGCCAATACTTGACTTGAGAAACACACAAGTTCTTTAAATATTTAACCCTATTACAAAAAGCTCAAGATTTGGGCTCATCAATTCAACTGATTTGAAACACAGACTAAATAATATACAATTAGAGAATGGAGAAAAGATAGTCAATTTTGATGTGACGAGCCTCTATACAAGTACATCTTCAGGTACTCAGAAATGAACTCACAACTGTCCATGAACTCAGTAAGAGAACTAAAGTTTTTATTGATGAAATCATGCTAAAGATAAGATTATGTTTAATTTCCACAGTTTTCAGCACAAAATATATAAACAAATAGGAGTAGCAGTGGGATCTTCAATATCCCTTATCGTAGCAGACATTTGTTATGTTGAAATCAGAACAGATCCAGAGTTTTCTCGTACATATTAACTTGATAGTAGATGCAGTCCAATTCGCTTATGAATTAGAAAATGGAAAAGGAGAATTACCTATGTTGGACTGCAAAATCAAGTGGAGAGAAGATGGAAGCTTAGATACTGATGTTTATAGGAACCCAACACATTAGAATAGATACTTGGATTTCACACCATCTAACCCTTTATCTGCTAAAGTAGGCTTGGTGAAATGTCTAAGTAATCTGGCTAGGAGTTTGACAAATAAGTCAGAGAACCTAAGGAAGGAAATAAAGCACACCAAAGACCTAATACCTCTTAATAACTATCCTCCGGTATTTCTCAAAACGTTTATAAGGACTGATAAGAGAAAGAGTGGTTATTTTAGTGCTGATTGTAACATGTCTGTGATGGAATTCAAATCATCTGTGGTGTGTTGCCTTATAAAGAAGGTACGTTGGGAATTTTATGTAGAATTCTTAACAATGCTGAGATTAGGGTGGCATTTAAACCTACAAATTCGCTCAGACAGAAACTTTGTAGGCTAAAAAAAACCCGACAGAGCCAATTAAGAAAAATAACCTGATCTGTTCGGTATCATTTAATGATTTTGAGTTCAAGTATTATAGGTCAAGGGAACCAATTTGGGTCAGTCAGAAAAGCAGAACACAAAATGTGAGCGAAAATTACAATAGTAGACCCTACTGAGATAGGTAACTTGGAGGAAAACTCGACTATCACTCTGTATACACTGACCCATAATCACGCTACAGGTTGGGATAGAGTGACAATTCTAAAACCCAATATAGCTAAGTGGAGGGAAAGATTGATCACAGAATCTTTGTTCACTGAATCAACTAGCATGTTAACACATGCAACAGAAATGACTCATCACATATTGCAGATTCATGGAAATTTTTACTGTCATTAAAATAAATGAATGAACTATTGGAGTATCTGAAGGAAGTTTCAGAGTTGTATGATTACTTTGATATGAATATGAGCAATTAATTCTGTTCAAAATGTCATCCAGTTAAACAATCTAATATCCCATAAAATTGTACATCATCACTGAAGTGCTGTAGTTGCAAAGAAATAAAAGTCAAATGGTTTAAAGCGAATAGTGTTCAAAGAAGAATGTCTTTTATTGATCTTGGACGTGCTTTCCGTACTATTTGGGACTCGTCAGCTGGATGTACCAACACCCCATTGAGTGTTGTTCTCGCTGACGCTTGGACGCAGTACCTATGGCTTCAAACTCCAAAGAGTTATCCATTATAACATGACAGTCATATGCCAACACAAGTTGAACAATACGGTATTGTATAGCAACGGAGAATTTATCCATAAGTGAATGATTATGTTAATTCACCTTTTAAGTTCTTACTGTGAACTTTCATCTGTTTTTTTTTCTCTAGTAAAAAGATTTTATTGGTTTTTAGTTAGTTTGTTTTCTTATCTTTTCTTAAGGATTGACAGTTTTATATCACTCTGCATATGAACTTTGGTGGATAATAATTGGATTGACAATAAGCCTGGCATCTGTCTTTATCCTCAATGTAGATTCAATCCACTATCATTCGAATGGGAAATATACCAACTGGGAATCATTTATAACTATAGGAATCTGTTCATCAGTCCAATTATACTGGTAATTTAGTGAAATTTACTTGTCAGTCAGTTTTTTAACACGCATAGCTGGTAATAAAGCTCCTCTCAGTCAGATGTTGAGGTAAAGATGGACAAATTAAGCCTAACTAAAAAAATATGTAATTTCTGTTAATTCATCTGTAACTTGTAAAATAGTATTGTGGTAAGTAGTATGTGAAATGATATCCATGAAAAAGCAAGTAGACTTATCGTTTAATCGGTCAAAGCTTTGAAGGAGGAAATGAGAACTATTGCAAAAAATACAGGAGATAATCGAAGAAGCTACTGAAACGAAAGATCAGCCCATCGGGAATATAGAATGCAGAGGTTATTTGCTTGAACTATGTATTATGTAGGGTTTTCGTCTTTTATCTAGGATTACTGTAGTTTTTCAACGAATAATTTCATCATTTCTCACTTGTGTTGTTTCTATAATAGTTCTACTGACATTTTTATGTCCTTCGCGATATCATGGTAGTCATTAGAACAAAACTACTATCATTTATACTGGGTGATGATTGAAGGTGAAATGAAAATCTAGACCGCGGCCGATTTCGAGCCAGTGACTACTTAAAAATTCTATTTCTCAACAATAATGTATTTTGAGGTTAAAAGGATTTTACTTTTGAATTATTATTCATCACGGACTGGTATCAGTTAATGAACTACTGGAAACCTATGAACACTGAATAGCTTTTTCGTCTCGGTATGGTACTCCTCAGCTGTACGTACCCACGACTCGGCTATGGATCGGACTCATGACCTTCAGGTTTCCCGGCGAACGCATTAACCATTTAGCCAATTAGTTGGGGTTCAATAGTTCACAGTTTACAACTTCTGTTGATTCGCACTAACATTACGAAATTTCTACCCTCAACCATCTTATCAATACCCAGGCTTGCCTGGCTAGTATAAATCTCATTTAGTGATTTATTGTGCATAACGTTAGTCTTTTTAATCCCTACATTTATTTACCCTATAGCCCCATAGACCTTTTTTTACTGCTAATAATTTCATAAACTAGAGTGACTGGTATTTAATCGTTGCTTGTCCAGTGAAAATACTCGTTTTATTTGTTTGTCTGTCAAGTTCGCTAATTATATGATATTTACATGTGATAATCCACACTATCCCATGACCATTATGGTGTGAAACCCCTTTCAAAGTACATCGATTCCAGTTAGTATAATTTTCAGCAGTATTATTATTAGTCCCTTGGGTTCCTAATGGAACATAGGGCTTCAGTAGCACATCTCCAGTGAACTCTGTTCTCTGAAATCTTTTGAACCTGGCTCCACGACAGCCCACAAGCTCTCATTTCTTCCTCACTTCACCTCCTCCATGTCACCCTCACCTCGGACGCCCAACTCGTCGTTTCCCATTTCTTAGGACCGGTTAGTAACTAGTTAACCAGGCGAGGTTAATTTTCAGCAGTACAGGAACAAAATGCTCTCAGCAAAGTAACAGCGGCCTGCTTGAACTTTGGGCTACCAAATTTATCCATCAAACATTTTTTATCAGATTCTTTCCTTCCCATTTGTTTCAGTCGTTTGAATATTTCTTTTGAACGTATCATATACTCTTGCACATTTTTAAACTGTTTCCAACTTTCCGTTTCTCGAGTCAATAACAAAGCAGAGAAAAAATGTTACGTTATGGGGAATTGAACTTTTCGGTGCAAAAAAGCACATCATATTTCTATCCGTCAGATACTTAGCTTGAGTTGCGGATTTTGGCTCCGGTTGAATGAACCACCACTTTCAAAATTACGCTTGCATTTTGGTTGGTTCTTCATTATGGACCAGACGCCCATGCAAAACTGGCTAATTATTTCACATTATTGCCTTGAGTACTGTTATATTGACATCATTCCGATACGATAGCTATTTTGTCTGAAAGTATTGTTCTAGGAGTGGATTCGTTGAAAAATTATATGCTGAGAAATCCTTACTGTCATACATACTGTTCAGAATAAAGCGATCATTATTATTATTATTATTGCTTGTATTACACCATCGTTGATTGGACAGAGTTGATCAATCTCTGTTGACATATGGGCTACTGTGCGGATGCCTCGATATTGCCTGTGTTTCAATTATGTATATTAATGATGAGTAGTGGGTAGCAATGGAATCCAGAATGCACATTTCGTCCTATTTGGGACTAACTGAACAGCTGAATGTACCTGCCTTCCAGTGAGTGTTGTCCCCACCGGTATCCTGGATTCTGCTGTTACCCACTACCCATCATTACTATTTTTATTAATAAATAATATACAATGAGTAAACAAAAATGTAAAAGCGTAGGGGGGAATAAATGTAACGAGAGTAATAGGATATTCAATTCCTGGGTCAGAATTTGCAGGGGAATCTCTTTCACTTTTTCCATCGTTCCTGATTCATATCACTGGGTATGTTAAAACATATATTCCTGGTGTCTTATGAACCTAATCTAGGTAGCCTATGTTTCTCTTCCACTCGATTAGAACTATCGGCAAGTAGCTTGATCTATGGCTGTTACGTTTACTTCTGGTCTCTTTTAACATGCTTCCTACCCAATTCGACTTTAGCAGTGTACATTAAAATATGCCTCGGTTTGGCATAAATAACAGGCGTTATTAGACAATAATCCTTGTATATACTCGCTAAGAGTAGACTAAATTGGTCCTCCAAACAGATATATTGAACCTGTCAACAAAAATAATCTACAACACACTGGAATAAAGTCTTAGTTTGAATGAAAAATGTATTTAACTGGTTAGATGATATCAGTCTTTGATATTTATTTGATGCTTGTTATGTAGAAGTTGATGAATACGAGTACTTTTTATATGTAGATTATTTTTCCTGATTTCTTTTTTCTCTTTTTTATTTAATAGTGAACTTTATATGAATCCTGTACAGTGGCATCAAATTCGTGGTGAGTTAATCGCATATCTGGTAATGCTTGCAGTTAAAGTTATTTTTTTCTATTATAAAGTATTGGTTTCTTGATTACACAACTATAGAGTAAGTAAGTGGTCAAGAATAGAACGGATTTTTTCAAAGAAAATTTCTTGGTATTTGGTTTTCGTAAAATTTGCTAATGTGTGTTTAATATTCAACAATTTATTTGAGTTTTGAGGGAGTTGTGGAGATTCGGAAATATTTCAAGTTGTTATTCATCGTAGACTGACATCAGTTGAAGGAACAAAGGAAACCTGGGAGCACTGGACAGCTGTTTCGTCCAACTAGTATGGGACTTCTCGACAGTGCGTACCCACAACCCCACCAGGGATGGAACCCGCTACCTTCAGGTTCCGTGGCCAACACGTTACCATTGAGCTAGCCACTGGGTCGGAATCCAATGGTGCACATTTCCAACTCCTGTTAGCTCACGATATAGTGCAACCGCCACCCAATGTTATTGTTGAGTAACTGTCCTCACTAGCATCAGGCTTTGCCCCTACCGATCATGACTTCTCATTGTAACTTTGGGAATACTTCTCGAAGCTAGTCACCAATGAGCACCAGTTCAACTGAATTTTGAGGGAGTTGTGGGGATTCGATCCCTGCCGGGGTCATGTCCGCGCAGAAATGAGTAGTTGTCATTTGACTACTTTAGTCTTTTGTTGACGTTTTCTAAATGTGCATTTTTTTAAAAAGTTAGTTTTTTTATAAATCAAGCATCTGATCACTTAAATAGTAAGAAAATGTTTTATACATATCGATTCAGAACAAAGTTATCGAAGTAAAGTGAAATTATGATACTTCATGAAATACCTCCTGATATAATGTTTTGTTGTCATCGTCTTACATAACTCGACTACTTTTAAAAAAACGTATATCAAATTCATTTCTTCTCCTAATTTTATTTAATTAAAACTAATTTTATTTATTCCTGCTGAATAAAATATTCTACTGTTGTAAAACCTACACAACTAACTGCGTATACTTATTACAAAACTGTATGTACCCACGACCCGGCTAGGGATCGAACTCACCACCTTCAGGTTTCACGGCGAACGCGTTAATCATTTAGCCACTGGGTCGGCTTCTAGTGGTTCACAATATACAACTTCTATCAATTCACGACATAGCGTGACTGTCATCCAAGGACTTGCTTCCAGATGGATGTCAGGAAGCCCCGATGAGAAACCGTGACCTGTGGGGTCAACTAGTCGGAAGTGAAGTAGATGCTAATTGAAGACCTTGGGTAACAGTCACGCTATGTCGTGAATTGACAGAAGTTGTAAATTGTAAACCACTGGAAACCGACCCAGTGGCTGAATGAATAACGCGTTTGCTGTGAAACCTGAAGGTGGTGAGTTCGATCCGTAGCCGGGTGGTGGGTGCGTACTGCTGAGGAGTTCCATACTAGTTGGACGAAACAGCTGTCCAGTGCTCCCAGGTTTCATTTTTCCTCCAACTGATGTCAGTCCATGATGAATACTACTTCTAAATTAAAAATCTCCATTCACCTCAAATAATGCAGAACTGTATGTGTTATCATCCTAGTGATGATATACTTTTCTCGTAGTTGTCCATTCTTTACATTATAGTAACTTTTTTTTAATCTGTTTTAGTTACTATGCAACTGGAGTGTGATATTGGACTTCATTGCGTAGATATTTATTTTACTTAGTTCACCTACTGACTGTTTATAGACGTAGGATAGAGGTAGGTTAATCTAGTGTTCGATTAAGGCATACCTGAAATTCTAAGAATAAATAACATCTATAATGGTGGATAGTGGTTAGCAGTGGAATTCAGGATGCTCATTTCGTCCTGTTTGGGACACGTCAGCTGGTTGTACCTGCCTCCCAGTGAGTGATGTCGTTCCCATCGGGATTCGAACTCGGTACCGATCGCTTCAAATGCCAGAGCGTTATACACTAGACCATCGAGTCACGATAGCTACTTTTTGTGCAACGGATATAGTTTGAGTATTATTGCTTGTATTATACCGTCATCGATCAGACCGAATTCATCGGTCTCTATTGACATATGGGCTCCTGTGCGGATTTTTGTCAATCCTTCCCGTTGTACAAAGTAGTAAGTACAATGAAATGTTGTTTTCTGTCTTTAAAATATAAATATTCTCAACTGTAGGTGGTTGATAAAGGTGCCAAGATGTTGAGAAGTTATTATGAAATAACTTATACACTTTAATGAATTAAAATTACTTTGTGCATATGATGAATAGTCACTTTTATCTAGATATCTATTGTTTCATATTTTTAATCCTTTATTACTTATTATTTTTAACTCTTTGGTATACTTTATTCTAGGCAGTGTAATGATCATTATTATGAAAAGTGTATCTTTTTCTATGGAACAAAATAAATTCAATGACCTTATCAATAGTGAAACGTATATACTATTATGGACACCATTATATCGAGGATTAGTTTGGTTATCGTATTGTTTATGTCCAGCTAGTTTATTATTTGGTCCTTGGTTTAATCCATTAATTTATGAACAAATAATTAGAAATAATTGTATGAGTATGAAGTTATCTTTAAAGAAGGTAAGTTGTATCTGATTTGTAGCTCACCTATACATTTAGGCTATTTTCCCTTAAATAGTTGGTTTCCTCTATTTATTATTTTATCAATTTCAAAAAGGATAAAAGAATAGTGTAATGAATGAATATAATTTCAGCAAGCAATAAAAAAGGTCGATTGTGAAATTACGTTATTTCTACTGTATATAACTCAACTTTGTAACGCATATATTACATGTAAATAAAGTGAAACACTAATAAATTTATCATTTAGACTATCCTAGATAGTCGTGGTTTGATAGACTAGTATTTATACTGGATGATGATTGAAGGTGAAATGCAATTGTGGACCGTGGTCCGGATTCAAACCATCGACCACCAAGTTTCCTGCCTGATTCTCTACCAACTGAGAATCTGGCAACTAGTATTAACACGAATAAGTGTTCTATTATAATTAATCATCATCAATATCAACCTAGGACTAGGCATTACTGCGTAACGGTTTGATTTGCCACAGCTCATATCAGTACAACAAGTAAGAAGGAAGTGAAATGGAAGATGAAGAAAAGAAGGTTTAGTCAAAAGAATTATAAAGTACTAAAAGAGAGAAAGGAAGGATGAAAAAATGGTGAGATTCGGTATAGCGTCGTAAAGATGAGGATAATATATGTATACATCTACGCCACTGATATCGGTTCTCAGTCATGTGATCACCTAGAGTCAGTCTCCAACCACTGATTCCTCTTACCCTGCAGACCCCAACCACCTAGTCTGCATCACCTCACATGGCTCAAATCAACAGTCAGAGACTTCATGCATTGATGCCATGTTTTGGTCTGGTCACGTCAGGTCTTTTTCCAACCTGAACCTACTTCGGCCAACATTGTGTGACAAGGCAATCGGCGACTAGGCATACGTAACACGTGTCCCAACCATCTCAGTTGTAATTAATGCCGATGAGAAATTGAACTGCAATGCCAATAATGTTTATTAATGCATCACTTCTGTCTCCCGAAAACTGAAATAAATCGACGAATTTGAGTAATTACTCAGTACAGTCAATGAGTTTACTACAAACAGATAATTATTTCACTTTTATAGTATTTTGGTAACTTGTAAATATGTCTGTCATAATTTTATGACATTTCAGTTCATAGTTTTTTCGTTTTAAATACTCTTTTCACTGATATCATCTATCAAATGTACTCAGATTTCTAAGAAATATTCCATGTAAGCTGTACTGCATATGTTTTTAGTATTGTCTTGTTACTTAAGTGACAGGAAAATATCGGTAAGAATTTTGTGATTTTGTTGCGAAACTCTTTTTTTCTGTCTTTATGGAATTTTTTTAATTTAAATCTATTCATTCCATGTGGAGTTTTTCGAAAGTTTTATGATGGACTTAAAGTTCAGTGACTGAGACAGTTGACTACCAGGTATTATGTCGCATATTGGAACTCACTCCTCGTACATTGATATGAACCACTAAATACTGTGATTGGTCCTCATGCAATGACAGTGGCTGATAGTTTAATAATCGATTATATTGTTAATACTGTTTATTTATGGTTTCTACAAATAAGCGTAAGAATTAGGTTCACCATCCATATATAATTTGTGAATGGAAAACACTGTTTTAAAGTATGTTCAACCCAACTCTGTACTTGTACATGTACTAGACTTTCGGGTACAATTAAGGTTCAGTGGTGTATGATATTCTCCGGCTACTTAGACTGAAGCAACAGGAATGAGATTGAAACCTTGAACCTATTGTTTGAAAATTGATTTCTTATGCCAGTGAACCATATCTCCACAGATTTTATTACTTCATGATTTAAAACAAGCAATGAATGTGAAAAAAGAACAGGGTTTAATGAATTCATAACCCTAACTACGAGTTTGGATCCTTAGACCATAGTATTATCCAAACTCACAGTTAATCATATAACCTATCCCCAACCCATTAAGTTTTTGAACATCCACTCTTACTCTTTGTATTACCACTTGACCTGAAAAAACTGTTCACTTCTATGTTCTTACACCTGAATCGATGTCTCAGTTTACTTTATATACGTATATATGTTCTTTTACATTGTTTAACGGTATATATAATCAAGCATGTAGAGTATCCAGCTGGTGAGTACTACTGAAATTTATGAATTCATTGCTAATGTGTGTTTAATATTCAACAATTTATTTGAGTTTTGAGGGAGTTGTGGGATTCGGAAATATTTCAAGTTGTTATTCATCGTAGACTGACATCAGTTGAAGGAACAAAGGAAACCTGGGAGCACTGGACAGCTGTTTCGTCCAACTAGTATGGGACTTCTCGACAGTGCGTACCCACAACCCCACCAGGGATGGAACCCGCTACCTTCAGGTTCCGTGGCCAACACGTTACCATTGAGCTAGCCACTGGGTCGGAATCCAATGGTGCACATTTCCAACTCCTGTTAGCTCACGATATAGTGCAACCGCCACCCAATGTTATCGTTGAGTAACTGTCCTCAGTAGCATCAGGCTTTGCCCCTACCGATCATGACTTCTCATTGTAACTTCGGGAATACTTCTCGAAGCTAGTCACCAATGAGCACCAGGATATGCACTTCTGAGGAGTCCCATACTAGTTGGACGAAACAGCTGTCCAGTGCTTTCAGGTTTCGTTTTTTCCTCCAACTGATGTCAGTTTACCAAATAATAACAACTCGATTAAAAACACCAGAACATTCCACAAGTTATGAAATGAACAAGAAAATATCACTTTTCAGCACATACAGAGCATTAAAGTTTAGGTTGTTTTCAGTCATACTTTCTTTTTTCACCATTAGTGGCATCAAGGTTGCGCAAAACTTCAAATTTCCGTTACAAGCAGTCGACATGTTTGATTCGTCTTCGCTACGGTCCGTTATGCTAGATAAACGTCTATTTTACCATAAATTCTTATGCTTATGGCTTCAGCGACCAAAAGAATTTACACTGACGATTTCCAGAATCTATAAGTTTCCACATAATCATGTAATCTAATTGAATATCTATTTAAGCGTTATTATTCACAGCAATATAAATTTATGCCATCAGAATTACATATTGTGGTGCAAAGGAATAAACATTTGAAAAAACTACGGACCAATGGGAATGCGTTTCCCATACTGTTCGTTGCTTGTTTTAAATTTGTATCGGTAAACAAATGTTTTTAATTTCTGCTTGATGATTCACTAAGTGTTAGAGTTTATAATCAATGGGTTATATTTACTTTCTTTCTTTTTTCGAATGAACATGAAATCTGTATCATAATGAAATATATTCATGAATGAATAATACTTTTGTTTAGAATACTACTTTTCAGTATTTATACTCAAGTAGATGCATCCAACTCATATGTTGTTAATTTGCTTTCTTTGTTTGTAGATTATCATATCACTTTTCCATGTATTTAGATTATATGGATTATCTCTCGCTTGTTTAGTATATTCAACTTGTTTTACGCATACATTACTTACCAGATTAAGATCTCAACCGTAAGTTGTTTTCATTTCCCTGTCTTTATTATTCTCTGAAAAACTATATATCAGTACTATTGGTTATCATAGAAGTTCATTGTAAAGCAACCATCTTAACTGTTTTCCATTTCTCATATACAGATTAGAATGTCATAGTTTAAACTGCTTTCTGTCCTATGGATATGCTTGTAATTCTCCGTTGTTTTTACTGGATTGAATTGTTCGACCTCTGTTAGTGGCTATCGTGCCTCATTGGCCCAGTGGATAACGCCTTGGCGTTTGAAGCAATGGGTTCCAGTCTCCGTGGGAACAGCATCACACACTGAGGTGCAGGTAAATCCACCTGACCAGTGCGTCCCAAATAGGACGAAACATGCATCCCGGATTCTTCTGCTGGCCATAACCAAGTAAATTGCTTCCTATTCTACCGATGAATAATTGTCAAGTGAAGTTCTCGGTATTCAGTAGTTTTAACCTCCTGACTGTTAATCGTTTAAAGTATTTTCTGTTAGCTATAAACAGAATTTCCATTGATCAGTCATCTTATATATAGTTTTACTGGGTAATGATTGAAGGTGAAATGTAAATTTGGACCTTGGCCGGGTTTGGACCAATTAGTAGAGCATTGGGGCGGAAACCCCGGTGGTCGCTGGTTTGAATCCGACAGCATTCCAAATTTTCATCTCACCTTCAGTCACCACCCAGTATAAATACCAGTCTGCCAAACCACGCCTATCTCAGATAGTCAAGATGCTTATACATCAGGAAGCTCTAATGATAAGCCGTGACCTGTAGATGCTAACTGAAGACCTTGGGTGATAGTCACACTATGTCGTGAATTGATAGAAGTTGTAAATTGTGAACCACTGGAAACCGACCGAGTGTCTTAATGAATAACGCGTTTGCTGTGAAACCTGAAGGTGGTGAGTTCGATCCGTAGCCGAGTGGTGGGTGCATATTGCTGAGGAGTCCCGCACCAGGCCGAAACAGCTGTCCAGTGTTCCTAGATTTTCAATGGTTCCCAAACTGATGTCAGTCCATGATGAATACCACTTATAATTCATATAGGTTATTAGAGTTGCTGAGTGAGTGGATTTGTAATTACCCACTAGGTTCAAATAAGTGAGCAGATACCCTACGGAATAAAGTCGATTTTTTTTTGGAATTTATTCAATTAATAACACTTGTGCTTATTAGTCAGTGAAAACAAAGATGAATGAGTTCCTATCAGTGAGTGTATGATTCGATTTCTGACTCATATATGTCACATTTAATTATCTTGCCTATCACATATATTTCATATCCCCTTCAAATATATAACTAGTTTCTTCATATGTCATTTTAAATACAGACTTTTTCGCCTCGTCATATAAAGTTCGTCTTATTACTTTACTATTGTCCACTGTTATCTACTTTACTTCAGAGGATTGGTAAAGTCAATGAAGTAACCGTATTTCTTTGTACGACTCAACGTTCTGTTAGCCAAATTCCTACTGAGTTTAACATACAACGTGAAGAAAAGTAATAACATCATTCCTTTGTTGCGTTTAAGGCCTATTTGACTTGTTATCACTTTAATACAGTGTTCACAATTGTATTTTAGTCGGCCTAAGGTACTATTTTAAGTATACATCTTAATTTATTTCCATAGCTTTACCAGATTGTGGTAGCCAGTAACAGTCATATGCAGTCCACTCAAAGTGATAATGGAAACAGAAAATGGTAAAATTACTCTAGTAAGTTATAGTTTGAAGACAGTCACATGAACTGTGTAGTGAAGTGATTATTCTTCATCCATTACTGAAACTGTTATCTATGGTAATCATTCATTCTAAACTTCTTAATATATAACTTATGACCAATGAGAAGTTAACTAAACTCACGACTATAGCAATCAGAAATTCATGTTCATGAATTTCTACCTTCATTTGTTTTCATTCTCAGAGTTTGCATTTTGGTGCTGTTGAAATCTATCACTTACTGAATAACATATAAACTTAAAGACCATTCGAGTAACTACGAAAGTAACTAATTGGGTTTCTTTGTTTTGGCTGGAGAATGATTTCTTTTCCCGTGTCTTTTGATATTACTCTTGTGTAAATAATATGTGTTTTTAGTTAATACACCAGGATATTCACAAAGCCACATGAATTTCATCAGATGGACACACTAAAAATAAGATCGACTTCATCTCAATCTCAAGAAAGTGGAGACGCAGCCTACTTGACACAACGTCAAGAGGAGCAGATGTAGCCTCAGACCACTATCTAGTGCAAGGAACCTTCAAAATCAAGTTAAAAGCCTTCAAGGAAGCTGGTGATAGACCACAGTTCAAGAACAACACTCGGAAACTGAAGGATGAAACTACAAAGGAAATCTTCACATCAGCCATCAAAACAAAATGAAAGATATCGAGCAACATGCCTGAAGAAACCTGTGTTGAAGAACACTGGAAGTCTTTGAAAGAGATGTGGAAAGAAACCTGCACAGCCGTATTAGGAAGGAAGAAGAAAGAAGATAAGGAATGGATCTCGACAGACACATGGAAGCTGATAGAGCAAGGAGAGGAGGATGGTGAAGCAGAAGATAAACCAGTGCAAGGATGCTCAACGACAAGAGGAACTGAGTACAATGTATAAAACACTGGACAAAGAAGTGAAGAAGGGTGCACGGAAAGACGAAAGATACATACGACACACTTGCAAGTGAAGCAGAACAGGCTGCTGGTAGGAGAGACAGAGAGAGACCTGACAACATTGTATCAAATAACCAGGTTGCTATCTGGGAAGAGTTCAACGCAGACGAAACCAATAAAAGGTGATGACGGAAATTTAATTACGAAAGAAGAGAAGCAAAGTAAACAATGGGCCGACCACTTCAAGAAGCTCTTAAATCGACCACGACCACCACCTGCACTTCGTCCAGAAATGCCACCAGCAACGGCAGAACTGCAAGTGAACACAAGCCCTTCAACAAAATCAGAAGTCCTGAATGCCACAAAACTGCTGAAATGTGGGAAAGCAGCAGGAGTAGATGGGATCCCGACAGAAGCACGGAAAACAGACGCAGGGACACCAGTGGATATGCTCACACCACTACTGCAGAAGGTTTGCTAGGAAGGAAAGAAAGGTACCTGCCGGTTGGAGGAAGGGCGACCTAGATCTTTGTAAGAACTTGTGCGGAATCATGCTCCTGTTCCCTGCACGCAAAATATTAAATCGTATCGTCCTGGAGAGACTAAAAAGTGTTCTGGATTCAAAATGACAAGTGTTACAGGCTTCAGGAAGAACAAATCGTTTGCGGATCAAATTGCAACGCTACGCTGTGCGTCATCATAGAACAGAGCGTAGAATGGCAGTCAACTCAACTCTGTCTCCACTTCATCGACCTTGAAAAGGCCTTCGACAGCGTTGACCGAGAACGAATTTGGCAGTTGCTTCAACACTACGGATTGCCTCAAATCTTCATCAACCTCATTCAATAGCTATATGCTACATGCCAACTGATTCGCATTTGAAAGCTCAGTGATGCCTTCGAAGTGAAGTGAAGATAGAAGTAAGACAAGGCTGGCTACTATCACCGATGATCTTCCTTTTCTGGTCGACTGTATTTCGCCGATGATGATTTATGTCTAATGCCGCACAAACTCGAAGATCTGCAGGCGAAAACTAACAAGTTGACAGTAGAGGCAGGGCAGCGACGAAGATGAAGATACGCAACCAACAACAACAAGCACCACTTACCATCAATGGGAGAAACCTAAAGGAAGTAGTATCTTTTACCTACTTAGGCACCATAGTTACGACTACAGACGGCGGCGGCACAGATGAGGATATCAAAGCTAGGATCGGAAAAGCAAGACAAGCCTCCAATGATCTGAAATCAGTGTGGAGATCTACTGCACTCAGCATAAAGCGTTAACAAGATCCAGATTTTCAACACTTATACAGTCAAGTCAGTGCTTCTGTGTGATGGTTGAAAGCCTTAGCGCGTTACGAAAAACATTTCCAACAAACCACAGACATACGTCAACAGCTGGCGACGCTCAATACTGAAGATCAGATGGCCAGAAAGATAGGAATAAGCAACAAGGAACTGCGACTGACAACGAACCAACTAAGAACCTGTCGTTCGACAAACATGCAGAACGAAGTGGAGATGGATCGGTCACACAATGAGATCATTTGTGGACATCACGCGCCAGGCCCTCGAGTGGAATTCAAAGGGGAAACGACGAGTTGGGTGTCCGAGGCGAGGCTAACATGGAGGAGGCTGTATGAGGAAGAAATGAAAGCTTGTGGGCAGTGGTGGAGTCAGGCTGAAAAGACTGAAGAAAACAGAGTGAGGTGGCGACGTGCCACTGAAGCTTTATGTTCCACTAGGAACCCAAAAGACAGACATATTGTAATAAAAATGAAGTTGCAACTGAAATTTAACTTTCATTGGGACTAATATTATCAACTTTGCACAGTAACAAAAACTTTACTCAATTGAAACGATGACCATACAACTCAGTCACTTCATTCAGTGAATTATTAGGAGCATATATATGCATGACATCATAGTTGGTGTCTATAGCGCATATAACGATAACTAGTAGCATATCGATGATCCATCTGAATGTAAAGCATAAGGCTGAGTGGTAGTACACGGGAAATATTTTGTAAGGTAAACAAAACTGTCTTATGAATGGATCAACACAAATAGCTAGAAATGTGTTTTTGTACACAGGTTTTGACTTATTCCTGCAGTTGGTTAGCTATATTTTCATTAATGTCATCTTGTTAGTATTATTTAGTTATCAGATTTCCTATTGGTTTTATTGTACTGGTGGAATAAGCTTAAACATTGTTCTTATAAGTGTGCTAACCTCTGAGCAGATGCTACGTAGATCTCTTGAAGTATATGTATCTCATAATTGTGATCGTGTAGATAGTGATAGTTTTGCTTTGCTCCACTTTTATTTTGGTTATCTCACCTTTGCTCATATTTTGGATAACTAACAAAACCCACTTTTTGTAGTCTATCAGCACTGTTGCTCTCTCTCTCTCTCCCTCTACATATGTATATATAAATCGCATTCCTCATCACTTGGATTATTATTTAATTATCATTTGACTATCTGAGATAGCCGTAGTTTGACAGACTAGTATTTTTACTGGGTGGTGACTGAAGGTGAGATGAAAATCTGGACCGCAGCCGAGATTCAAACCAGCGACCACCGTGTTTCTTTTAAATTTTTCTTTAAAATTCATATTTATCATTTTCATTTCAATCACTTATAGATCGAATGTGATAATAACTTGCAAAACAAATAATGTGAAAGGTTTACTTGATCCCTTGCAAAATCTCACTGTTACATAAACATGTGAATAACTTTTGTAAATTCACTAAGCACTTTGATATTCCTCTTTTAATCACTTTGTCAAATATTTCAGTTTGACTGATAGATAGTTTGTATTACATCTAGATAACTGAAATATATAATCTGACTACAGATTACGTTAATACTTTTAGCAAATTTTTCATTAGATAGTCCGTAATTGATAAAAAAAAATAGTAAGATCTAGAATATATTTAATAACTGCCAGTTTTATTCCATGCTATCTGACTTTCCAAACCTTAAAAGAATAAAACCACAACGGAGTGACGATACACCACTCATTAGTAGTACCAAAAGAGAAACTGTCGCCTGTTATCATTATTATTATTATATTATTATTATTATTATATCATTATTATTATTATTTATCCCTTGGATTCCTACTGGAATATAAGGCTTCAGTGGCACGTCTTCAGTGCACTCTGTTCGCCGCAGTCTTCTCAACCTGGCACCACGACTGCCCACAAGCTATCATTTCTCCCTCATATGACCTCCTCCATGTCACACGCGCCTCGGACACCCAACCCTTCGTTTCCCCTCTGGGTTCTACTCGAGGGCGTGACGCGTGATGTCCCCAGTTGGCCTTCTCAGTGTATGCCTAATCCATCTCCACTTCCTTCTGCATATTTGTTGAGCAATAGGTTCTTAGTTGGTTCGTTGCCCAGCCAGAGTTCCTTGTTGCTGTCACCTAGTGTAATAATAATGTAAGATGCTAATAATACAGTACCATACATTGACGCTTGAATCGAAAATTATCAATCCTTAGATATAAAGTCAACGACAGAAATAGTAAAAATTTGCCACAAAACTTGAGTTGATTAGTTGATTTCGAATACATGAGGACTGATGGAAACTTCTAAATTACGACATAAGGATTATCTGAGTAATGTATGTCTTTGTAATTCACTGTTGGAATTTTTTTAATCCGCTTTAAGCGATTATCAAATTCAATACAAACATTAGTTCATGATTTTTTCCCCTCCTCTTTTCTTTCTTTTATCTCTACCAGTTGGCTTTACGCGTACTTTGCCTCGCAAAGTTTTCGTTTCAGTCACTATTTTGTATGTCTTTCAAGTGAATCCTTCATGGCTGCTCTAGGATACTGTGATAGGTATTCAACTAGATCCAAAGAGAAAGCGGATACTGATGAAGAAGAAAGTATCACGGAAGTTTACAGGTAAGTCTCATATTTTTATATTCCTAACAGTCTATATATATATATATATATATATATATATATATATATATATATATATATATATATATAACCACCCCGAATAAAATATTTCGGTAAGTATCGTAGCTATTTCTAAATCAGGTCTATTCATTTCATCACGATTGACTTCATACAAGGCTCAAGGTCGTAGATCTTATTTGATATGTCATGGAATCTAGCAATACTGCATAATGGTCCAAGTTGCCACACCTCATCCCAATATATACAAGTCGATACAAAGCAACAAAATGAAAGGGAAAGAAGTGAAACTGATGTAATCACAGAGTGTAATATGAAAAGATGTGCTAAATTTATTAACGAAACATGATATTGTTACTAAAATGCAAATGCGAATTGTTTCTCCAGGATTAGTCTTCAACCGTGTCTCGGCTAACAATAGAGAGTGTAGTGGTTAAGTGTGTCGACCACTTCACTTATCTTGAAAGTGGGATCAGCCCTGGTGGCTCAGTGGTTGATGAAATTTTTGCATGAATATAATAGGTTCGGCTGGCTTTTGCCAACTTACGCCACCTGTAGCACCGCCGTGATATCCGTTTGTCTATTATGGGTCGCGTACACTGTACCTGCACAGCAGTTCGGTCTGTTCTACTGTATGGCTGTGAAACACAGCTATTGAAGGTGGAAGACATGAGAAGGCTTCAGGTGTTTGACCACCGTATACACGTATTCCGTGGTGTCACCGGGTGAGGAACGCAGAAGTCAGGTGTAGATTTTCGAGGAGAAGATGTAAGTCAGTTGACACGGTTGTAAACTTTCATCGACTGAGATGATTGAGACATGTGTTACGTATGCCTAGTCACCGTCTGCCTCATCATACAATGTTGGCCGAAGTAGGTTCAGGGTGGAAAAAGGCCCGAGGAGGCCACATTAAAACGAGGTATCAATGCATGAAGTCTCTGACTGTTGATTTGAGCCATGTGGAGCGATGCAGACTAGGTGGTTGGGGTCTGCAGGGTAAGAGGAATCAGTGGTTGAAGACTGACTCTAGGTGATCACATGGCTGAGAACCGATATCAGTGGCATCGATGTATACATATATTATCCTCATCTTTACGACGCTATACCTAATCTCACCATTTTTTCATCCTTCCTTTCTCTCTTTTAGTACTTTATAATTCTTTTGACTGAACCTTCTTTTCTTCATCTTCCATTTCACTTCCTTATTACTTGTTGTACTGATATGAGCTGTGGCAACTCGACCGTTACGCAGTAATGCCTGGTCCTATGTTGATGATGTTAAGATGAAGACAAGAAATGTATACGTCTTCACCACCGATATCGATTTTGACTCATATCGTGCATAATCGCTTATCACCGGTATCAGTTGTTACTCAAACGCAACACAACTTAAACCAACAGTTCATACTTAGTCTTAACATGGATCAAAAGTTTCTATTTGTGAGTTTATAAAGTGTGTTCCGTATTCATATGGTCCTTGTGTTAGTGATTTTCAGATGAATTTAGTTTTTAGAGGCGATTTCAAGTAAGTTATTTCTCACAGGTTCAAGGCAGTGAATGATAAGGTGAATTAAGCATAATGAATACCATGCAAAGAGGAAGACCATGTTTATGGACATTCGGCACTCCATATAAACGGGTTATGTTTGAACTAGATGGTCTAAGATATTCATACACATCCAGAACTCGAAAGAAATATTTCTCAACGAGAGCATTTCATTTGAATTCTATGGGTCACAAGTGATCAAGAAGAGGTGTGGCAATGTAAGAATCAAATAACGAAAATTTCCTACATGCACTCCAGAGATACGTGTTTAACCACTCTAGTATAACCCTGCTGGATATTCAGATGTATGTTTTGTCTTTAGGACAAAAGTTTTGTTATACTTCATCTAAAACTAGTGAGCTTGATTCAAAAGTGCAATTTGAAAACCTTATCAGCCAAAAGTTGAGACTTAGCTCGGACATCCTCTGGAAGCTTCGAACGTTTCAAATCCACATTATTACATTGTTGTTATCAACGTGTGAAAACACCATGTTGATAGTAGCGAAGTATGATAGCTGTAGAACACAAAGTGTAACTAAAAGAACTACTAAATAACAAAAATATTATACTTGTATGCCCAGACAAAGGATCTGGCATAGTTGTTTTTAGAAGTAGTATTCATCATGGACTGACATCAGTTGGGGAACCATTGAAAACCCGGGAGCACTGAACAGTTGTTTCATCCTATATGGGACTCCTCAGAAGTACGCACCCACCACCCGGTTACGGATCGAACTCAGGACTTCAGGTCTCACGGCGAACGCGTTAACCATTCAGCCACTGGGTCGGTTTCTAGTGGTTCACAATTTACAACTTCTGTCAATTCACGACATAGCGCGACTATCACCCAACGTCTTCAGTTAGCATCCACTTCACTTCCGACTGGTTGACCCCACAGGTCACGGCTTCTCATTGGAGCTTCCTGATATCCACCTGGAAGCAAGTCACTAAGAGCGCTATACAGTAATTATTATTGAGATGATTGGGGATTTCTAATTTGGAAGTAGTATTCATCATGGACTGACATCAGTTGGGGAACCATTGAAAATCTGGGAGCACTGGACAGCTGTTTCATCCTAGTATGGGACTCCTCAGCAGTACGCACCCACGACCCGGCTAGGGATGATAAATACTACTCGTAAATTAAAAAAATTCCCCATTCATCTCAAAAGTACATAGTTGTTTTTGATTGAAAGGATTATATTCGTAAATAATGCTTAGCGATGATAATGAATTTCTAAAATCCATAAACCAGAAAGATAGAACAAAGATATTGAAAACCAAAAATCTTAAAAAAATTGAAAGAACCCTTAATTACCCCTTGATATGCACTAATATCTTAGACCATCTGGTTCAAGTATACCTCGTTTATATGGACTGCTAAAGGTGGATAAACATGGCCTTCCTCTTTATATGGTATTGAATAACTTAATTCACCTTTAATTACTTCTCTTGAATGACTTATCATTGTCAATTACTATCTATATCTTAGATACAATTTTCTTTATTCGAATAAGATTTCTACATTTACAAATTGAGGCAAATTAAAAATGAAGGAAATTATTTCATACGCTGATAAGAGACAAGTACTAACAATGAATTAAGATCGAAGAATAAATATTTGTACTGATATTATAAAATTCGAGAAATCAGAGTATGCATTCTTGTAATAAGTCTTCTTGTAAACACTTTTTTTAAATGATCAATACTCTCTTCTATTTGTTTTTATTCTTTTTGTTATTCCTAGACCGGTTGTTGTAACCCAACCATGGTTTATAGAATTTCCACGATCATTAGTTGAAGTTGTTATACAATGGAATATACCGATGCATAATTGGTTGAAACAATGTAAGTGAAAATTGAATTTTTTAACTGAAATATCAGTTTAACTTCAGTATAGAAGGCTAATCTTGAAACTGTGACAAATATCTGTAGCTTAGAGTGTGGAATATTCACAATGAGTTGTTCTATGAACTAGGATTTCTATATCGTAGTAGACATCATCAGAGCTTTACAAGGTTGATTTCAATGTTAGACTAAAGCCAGTGGCTCGATTCTCATCGCGTATTTCAGCCATTACCTTTTAGTAACTAAACTGTTTGATATGAGGTATTACCTTCAATATATAAGTCGTGAAAGGTGGTTTGTCTAGCTAACGTAAGGCAGTTTAAGCTTTACTTACTATACCAATTGTTTCTACTCGGTACTTCCAATCAAACGGACAAATATGTGGTCTGATATTAGGCTTGAGGATTAGGTGTGTAGTAGCTAAGGCTGATTAACCTAGATACCAACATTTAACCTGTGGATTACGGATTTGATCCTAACTTACCGGTTTCACAGTGGATTTGGATTTCAAGAATTCTTGGTGTATTTATATTTTGTTGGATAAGTTCTACTGGCTGATATTAGTATTTGTGCAGTCATTTTATTGGTAAATATGTCAATGGCTTAGACATTGAACACTCATTCCAGTCGTTCATTTGCAATTCATCCGCTCATATAACCATATCACTGAAGCCTTCTCAGCTACTTCAAGGGCATTGATAATACATGAAATCAGTATCGATGTTTACAAGATCTTTGTGATCATGGATTCGACTTTCAGCCACCACTAAACTAAAGCCAAGAATATGTAGTTGCTTTCCTCTAGGTGCTGAATCATTATGATAGAATTATTCCACTTAATTTGAATGATCCCTTGTTTATGTATATAGATTTATAATCTAGATAATGAAATCTTTTTTGTAGATATTCAAATCAAGTTGGAATTCAATGGTTTGAAAAAAATTTAGGCATTGAATAAATGATATTATTTGGGGGTTTTTTATTTCCTAATCAGTGTAAACCAAATTTGATTTTGTTGTACATTCATTGGCTTCATCTGGTTGTTCCCTATAGATATATATAAACCTCTTCGTGCATATGGACATATTTATGCTATCTTGGGAACGTATACAGTCAGTTCCTTACTACATGTAAGTTTTAAAGAAAAAAAATCCTATACCTGCAAATAAATACTGGTTTCAATTACCTTCAGAAGTTAATGTAATTAATATATATTAATTAATAAAATAAAACTGAGTTCTGGCAGAATCTTTTGACACCTGAAACCTGAGAAAGATTTCGGAGATATCTTTAAATATTTTAATAAATGGGTACTATAAGAGTGGGGTCCGTGGGACAAGAGAAACCAGTGGTTGGAGACTCTAGGGGATATGGCTGAAAACCGATGTCAGTGGCGCAGATGTATACACACATTATCCTCATCTTAACGGCGCTATACCGATTATCACCATTTTGTCATTCTTCCTTTCTTTCTTCTCATACTTTATATTTCTTTTGGCTGAATTTTCTTATTTTCATCTTTCACCTCACTACCTTTCTACTTGATGTACTGATATGAGGTGTGGCAACTCGGACCGTTACGCAGTAATGCCTGGTCCTATGTTGATATTGAAGATTATGATGGTAAGAGTGAAAGAAGGCGATAAACGACTAACCAATCACTAGTTTCTCTTCTTTACCATACTGTACCAATGTAGAACTCCTCATTTGCTGAATTCAATTATCAGAAATGTGTTTTTTTCTAATCTTTTATCCAACACAACAATCACCTGTTGTTGTTGATATTGAATGGAAAAAAAGACATGAGTAGCCTTTAGTTTATTGAAAACTAAGAGAGGTGTAAATTTTGAACACGTCCTTTCTGAATGTGCAAAGTTCAGGTTTGATGAAGCATCGGCAAGCTACTCATAGCATTGTTTCTGATACACGGTATATGACATTTAAAGCTTTACTGGTGTCTTTGTGGTGCCGTGTGTTTACTAGGTGTGTGTGCTAAGACAAAACTTTTCACCACTTTCACCTTATTCAGCTAATTTATCCAGAGACCTATCTGCCTTATCAAACGTCCTATGTAATTTCTTTCACAAGAACAGATAAATCACGATACTCATAGTTTGCTACGAAACGTACTACTATCGATACTAACTCTATGATTTAATGTCGCACACTTTATTGTCTGAATAATCTGAAAGTAGGCAGCAGTTATAATAAAAATTAAAACTTGATTTATTTGTCGTTTTCTAGTGCATTTTTTTCATTCCTAGATGGTCAAATATCCATTTTTTGGAGTATGAAAATTGAACTATCCATAATTATAACTGCATTCAATATATTTTGCATATTTTTCTGCATAATTGAGGCATGTGATGGGTATTCCTATTGCTTTTGATAAACCTCTAATGTAAACTATCCTATCCTGCCCTTTAATGGAGGTGTGCACATTACAAACCTTGGAAGAACACAGTTTATAAACATAATGATACTTATGAATATCTATTTGTGAAAGCTTCCTTCAGATCATATGAGAACATAACTTGGGGACTTTTGATAGGTTTTAATTTCATCCTTACTTATTGATACTTTTGATTTCCTGCAACTATACTGAATTGAATCGACTGACAAGTGGTGGATTTCATTTCTCAATAATCTAGTGAATAACGCTCTGGGATTTGATGCGATGGGTGATTGGTTCGAGTCTCAGTAGAAAAACCTTCATTCACCAGGATTCAAGTACTTCTAGATGACAAGGTAAAAACAGGATGAAACGCGCATCCTAAATTCCATTGGTAGCCATCACCTATAAACTATAACGTAATTTCATCCTATAATTGTATCCTATTTTACGTGCCCCATTATCAGACAACTGTATAAATTGTCTCCAACCATCTAACGCCGAAATACCGCAGTATCACATCAATTCAAGTCCGCATTGTAAACTTGTTCGATAAACTTCTATCAATGCTGAACATAAGAAATTGATAGTTACACTAACTACCATCTGAATTATCCCTATGCATTTTATTATCCATATTTATATCACGATAAATGCATAACTTTCAGACGTTTCCTATTGTCTTAGTTCTTTCTTATCTTGAGATAAAACACGCATTCTTTCACAATAGTTAACTTCATCCAAATTCTTCTCTCATTGAATTCGTATAATTTTAATCTGTTATATTTGTATACAGTTACAAGACATTATTGTTATTAACACTTTCTTTGTTGATTGAATAATTTCAATTTTAGGGTTTAAACTTTCAATTGAGCGCTGTTTTATTCTCGATTGGAATCTATGCATACATTGAATATGGTAAGCTAATTTCTTCTAATCAACAGTGATTATTTTTCAAAGTTAACGTTTTCCCTCTCTAATGTATATGTTTTAATCATCTCTTATCTAATTCGACCGTAATAGTATATAGCAAAGAAAACCAATGTTATCATTTCTGTGAATTATACAAAAACTTGTTTCTCTTAGATACCTTCGTTTCTATCTGCTTTCATAAACAAAACGAATAATATAAATATGTTAATTCAATTGACGAATATAATTATCATTTTTCAAAATTATAGTGAATCACATCACATTTTATCGGTGCAAAAAATTACCTTACTGATTTACCCGTCATGTTATAAATATATTCATATAAAAGAAAATTAATCCATATAGTCTACATATATTTTCTGCTATCGAACCACGCTGTTAAAGTGGAATGCTTTCTATAATATCTCTAGCTTTACGACAGTCTAAGACTTTATAAATAGATCCTGGATTACACAAAATCTTCAAAACTTTTATTTATTTACCAAATATGAAAGTGATTTCCAGGGTCGTTTATGGTTATGTTAAATTTGAACATCTCTATATACTGGATGCAACCATGATATTCCTGATTATAGTGGACTGGATCATGCAGCAAACCGTGAGCAGCTGTGAGAAGACGGGCATACGCTGCATCGATGGAAAAACCTTAGAAGACTTGAATTTTGCCGATGACTTGTGTCTTATTTCACACAAACTTGAAGATCTACAGGCAAAAACTAACAGGTTGACGGAAGAGACAGCGAAGACAGGACTTAAAGTGAGTGTAGAGAAGACAGAGGTGATGAAGATACCCAACGAACAACAGCATGAACAACAACAAGCACCAATCACCATTAACGGGAGAAACCTAAAGGAAGTTGTCTCTTTCACCTACCTAAGCTGAGTAGCATCGTTTAAACTGCAGGCGGTGGCACTGACGAAGATGTCAAAACCAGAATCGGAAAAGCAAGACAGACTTTCATCAATCTGAAATCAGTGTGGAGATCTACTGCACTCAGCACAAAGAACGAGATCCGGATTTTCAACACGAATGTCAAGTCAGTGCTGCTATGTGATGGTTCAGAAACTTTGCTAGTCACGAAAAGCATTTCCAACAAACTACAGATATTTATCAACAACTGCTGCCCATGCTCACTCGATACTGAAGCCCAGATGGCCAGAATGATAAGAATAAACAACAAGGAACTGTGGCTGACTGGCGACGAACCAACCAAGAACCTATCACCCAACAAATATGCAGAAGAAAGTGGAGATGGATTGGATTTGACATACACTTAGAAGGCGGACTGGGGACATCACGCGTCAGGCCAGGCAGACGCTCGAGTGGAATCCAAAGGGAAACGACTAGTTGGGTGTCGGAGGTGGGGGTGACATGGAGGAGATCGTGCGAGAAAGAAATGAAAGCTTGTGGGCAGTCGTGGAGCCAAGAAGCTATCACCCAACAGGCATGCAGAAGAAGGTGGAGGTGGAATGGATTGGGGATACACTGAGAAAACCGACTGGGGACATCACGCGCAAAGCCCTCGAGTGGAATCCCCATGGGAAGCGACAAGTTGGACGTCCGAGGGTGACATGGAGGAGATCGCGCGAGAAGGAAATAAGAGCTTGTGGGCTGTCGTGCAGCCAGGTTCAAAAAATTTCAGAGAACAGAGTGGAATGGAGACATGCTACTGAAACCCTATGTTGCATTAGGAACCCAAGGAACAAATAATATTACATACTGGATAAACTGCTGATCTATATTTACATCCAGTTATAGAATACTTATAATATCCTGGAGAAAGTGTAGTAATGTACACAAACACGTGAACAAAATAATCACTTTATTCAGACTCATTTTAAAAGTGGCAGTAAAATTCTATCAGTTTGACTAGTTGAGATAGCCATCACTTAGCAGACTTGTATTGATAATGATTAACGATGTTTGAAGGTGAAATGAAAATCTGAATCGCAGAAGCATTTGAACCAGCAACCCGAGCACTGAGCCAAAAATTTGATGATCATTTTCATTTCACCTTCAATCATCACGCAGTATCCACGGTGTATATTTATAAAATGTTTCATATTTCATGATAGTTTAATACCATAACATGAGAACAATGTAATTCAGTTAAATATAAGTATACTTCTTACCTACTGACTGACTATTTTCGGTAATTCACCAGCTTCGATTCTCTTTTCAAACAAACATTCCCCACTTCTTTAGTAAGTTATATAAACAAGTGCACCTTTTTTAAATCAGCCCAATCATTCAATTCTCATTTGTTTTCCAGTTTTTCGAGAAAAATTGGCGACTATTCTAGATGGATGTATTGGTAGCAGACCATGTCCGAAATCATGCTGTCATAGGAACAAGGTGAGAACACTTCTCATTAATCATTTATCTTTGCAATATCGAGATTGGCTAAGCTGTACCATATTAGATTTGTTTATTTGATTTATAACACACAATGTGATACAGTATTATTCACTTCATGACAACGTTTCCAGCATAAATTATCACTGCTCATAATCATATCAATGTAGTCCACAACACCTCATTTTTGTAGCCCTGTCACCCACCTCATATGATTTATTTTTATTGGTAATGAAATGTTCCACATCTCTGGTATAGTTGTTGTGTCACTCCTATTACATGTGTTGGGTGTTGGTTGATTCGATGAACAAAGATTCAGTAATCAATCTCTTTCCATCCATCCACCTAATTATAGTGGTTTTATCCCATCCACCCTGTTGTGTGGTTGTGTTTTAATGCATGCATTGCAATAGTCGAGGTTCTCTTCTAGATTATTGATATTATCCGGGTTTGTCATCCTATAGTTAGCTAAATTGCTATGTCCCACCAATCTAATTGACCCTGACTAGCTAGTTTGATCTAAGTACTTGACCTCACAGTCATTACATGGAATTAGATAGATTAGGTTATTTTTGCTTTATCGAACCCTTTAGCCAGCCGAAAACGCTTATCTCTGAGTGAGTTTGTAGGTTTAAATCCCACCCTGCTTCTAGCTTTCTTGACGATTCTACGTAAAGCTTCCGATGAACCTGCCATATAGGGTAACAAAATGGAGGCTGTGAACTACTTTCTACTTGTATTGTCATTATTATTACGTACTCGTGTTACTGTTATTTTTTCCGTTTCTTGTGTGTTCGTATGAATGTCTTAATGAACTGCTCTTCTTTTACGTGTTTCAATTCCTTGTTTAGGTTACTACACTTACTAGTCAGTTTTTGGTTCTATCACTTAGACATTTGATTAAGCCTGCCTTACGTGACATTAGATGGCATGTCTTGAAGTCTAGATACCTGTTAGAATGTGTCGATTTTCTGTAGACGGTAGTATCGAAACCACCATCTGTCCTTCGTTTTATTCTGCAATCCAACATAGGTAATCCTCCTTGTTCATTTTCTACCCCGTAACTGAATTGGATTGGGCCTACTCCTGTTTATATTGTGTAAGGAAACTGTCATATAGAACCAATTAAGCAAAGTAATCCAATCCATCGAATTCCATGTAATGACTGTGAGGTCAAGTACATAGATCAAACTAGCCAGTCGGGGGCAACTAGCTAACTATAGAATGACAAACCCGAATAATATCAATAATCTAGAAGAGAACCTCGACTATTGCAATGCATGCATTAAAACACAATCACACAACAGGGTGGGTGGGATAAAACCACTGTACTGAATTAAGTTCACTATAATTCGGTGGATGGATGGAGAGAGATTGATTGCCGAATCTTTGTTCATCGAATCAACCAACACCCAACACATGTAATAGGAGTGACACAACACCCATACCAGAGATGTGGAACATTTCATTACCAATAAAAATAAATCATATGAGGTGGGTGACAGGGACTACAAAAATGAGGTGTTGAAAGTAGTGTGGACTACATTGATATGATTATGAGCAGTGATAATTTATGCTGGAAACGCTTGTCATGAAGTGAATAATACTGTATCACTGTGTTATAAATCTAATACTGGAATTACATTCTACCACAGTGCCGATTTTTACACCCATGTTATCGGCTAAGCCTGCATGTAATAATATTAGTGAGCATAAAGAATTATCAAACATCAGGCTACCTCCTTCATCATCCATAGTACGTTAAAATAAACCATTAAAAACTTTATCTGCAAATTATTTCTTGAAAGTATACTGATTTCCCTTCACCCACTTTCATAATATTCATCTACACACATTAGTTATTGACCTGGATAACACTAAGCTATATTTCATACACGACAAGGATTTATATCGTTAACTTAGAGTATATTTGGTTGCGTTGTATAAAATACCTTGATGGCCTACTGGGGCGAAATGTACTAATTAATTTTTATATCAATTTATGGAACGTATATCTTGATTATATTTTACAATAAATGTAATACAATAATGCAATATGTTCAGTTGTGTTTCATTGGTGTTTAGTCAGTTAACTTTCAACGAAGTGGGCACAGGTTTGAACCTTGATCCACCTATCAGGGTTACGCTAGTTAGGTAGTTGTATTATTAAATCTCATACTATGTGTGGTCCGTTGTTCATTGCATAAAAGTTCACATGGTCGCTAAGTGCATTTCAATCTTATTCTCTTTAGTCTGTCCAGTAAATCATACGACCTTAAATAAATGCAAATTGCAATATAGTCAGATATTGATAACAAACGATTTGTTACAAACTCTCTGTCTTTTTAAGTTGACGTACCTCATATTCGTACTTTATTGTGGAGGATTTACAAGACGAAATACGAAGCAATAAAAATGATGTCAGCAGTCGTAGAAAGTTATAAGGTGGAAGGGAAACGAGATAATGAAAACAACTATAAGGCACGAATACATTTACATTGCCATGATCGATTTTCAAGTATATTACGTGTACTCTGCAACCATTTATTTCTAATATCCAACATTACCCAGAAACGAAGCTTGCACTTTCCCATACTTTTTGAAATGACAGTTAGAGACACAATTGATTGGTAGCATATCTTGGTCTGGTTAACCAAACCGACATAAGTTAACATCATACGTTAGGCCTGACCGCAGTTCCGCATGTCTACTATATCCGAGTGCATATTAACGATCTCATCACCAGGCCTACATTCATTGTCTAATCCTCTACATCTAACTTCTTCTCAGCAGTAATTTTTAGATCAATTCGACCATAAACCTGTAACTCTCTCATATCATCTACCTTTATTGGCTATGATTCAAAGCCGTAGAGTGAGATAACGCAAACTGTTAAGCAGCAAATTTGTGCTCTGAGAAGTTAGGAATTTCGCAGGCGCCAAAGCTAGTTTACATCAGCAAACGCCGAATAATGATTTTTGTGTTTATGTCAAGATTTTTTCATCATTTTGCCCGTTGTTTTTCAGAATTCAACCTGGGTATATTGGTGCAATATTGCCTTCAGTTGCTTAGCCATATTTCATCTGGCTTATTTGGCTGTAATGTTTGATACAAGTGAACAACAGTTCCAAGTGAGATTGATGACTATTAGTATACTAAGTTAGAGAATTTTCGGTTTCATATTTTACTTGACAACTACAGTATTTCTCAGACATACTTTTAGTTTTATCTTACGTTTTAGAAGTATCATGATGTTTTGATTTGCAAATATTACAGTATTCTCAGAGGATATTCTGATTACTGTTGTGATTTTTCAACCATGACTACAACTACTCGCCATCTCCGCGAATTCATATGTAGCCTATCCTTCACAAACATTCAAATTTTGAGCTCTTCTGACTGTATATTTCAGTGTTGCGTTTATTTCCTTGATGTACATACGCCGAATTGATTGAATATAGTCGGTAATCTTTCGATAGCTGTGGAAATACTTAAACTACTTATGAGTAGTATAGTGTCTGATGTGTACTTTCTGTAACATTTTTAAAATCCTTTCGATTTACTATTTGATATTAACTTTAAGTAGGTCACGTTATCCCTTTGTTGCGCTTAGTTTGCCAGTCCTAACCACGCGAAATAGATTGGTTCAAATAAAACGCTGAAACAAATTTTCAAGTGTTGGTTTTGTTGAAATTACCTTTAGGATATTATCTATCCACTAGTCGATCACTTGTTTGTTTATGGCATTAATAATAAGTACAACTTTTTCAATACTCAGGTTTAAATTACATCAGCAAAATTCAACATATTTGAGCTTACATGTTTGTTAATTATCTTGAAGGATTTCAAAACGTTTATTTTATACGAGTAGTCAGTCTCACTATTACTGACCTATTCAACTTTATTTATATGAACTATGATGAAGATTTAACTGAACGGTATCACAAATATTGGATGCTGAATAAAACGGCTGACACTAGAAGTAGTTTCATATTTCATAAAATATGCTTTCTTTCGTCTTCCTCTGAACGTGTTTATCATGTAGGTGCACTTCGCCGTAATTCTTGAAAGAGAACTGTCAACTTTAATAATAATGATAATAATCGCTTTATTCCAAACAATATGTATGATAGTAGGGGATTCTCAGCATGTAATCTTTTAAACAAATCCACTTGTAGAACAATACTTTCAGAAGAAATGATTATTACATCGGAATGATGTCAATAATAATAGTATTTTTAAGGCAATAATGTGAAATAACTAGCCAGTTTTGAATGGGCATCTGGTCCATAATAAAGAATCAACAGAAATGTGGACATAAGTTTGATAGTGTCGGTTCATTCAGCTGGTACCAAAATCTGATACTCAAGCTAGGTATCTGATCGACACTAATATACTGTTGTACATTGAAAAGTCCACTTCCTTATAAGGTAATACATCTCCTCTGCTTTTTTTATTGATTCGAGAAACTGAGAGTACGAAACAGTTTAAAAATGTGCAACAGTACATGAGACGTTCAAAGGATATATTTAAATGATAAAACAATTGAAAGGAAAGAATGTGATAAAAAAAATGTTCGGTGGATAAATTTGGTTGCTCAAAGTTCAAACAGTTAGTCCGCTGCCATCGATCTTCTTTGTGAACAGTTTGTTTGATCGAATGTAACAAGTTAGGTAGTTAGTTATGTTCTCATCAGTATGTTAACTAGTTTGTGTTTGTTCATCCAATAGCATATTCGTCCTCTTTTGCATATAAAAAAAAAGAAATCAGCCTAACTCTTTTATTTCCAATATCTCCAAGATGAATGATCATTTGACACTACAGAACTGTACTGTATTAAGTTCACTATAATTAGGTGGATGGATGGAGAGAGATTGATTGCCGAATCTTTGTTCATCGAATCAACCAACACCCAACACATGTAATAGGAGTGACACAACACCCATACCAGAGATGTGGAACATTTACTACCAATAAAATAAATCATATGAGGTGGGTGACAGGGCTATAAAAATGAGGTGTTGAAAGTAGTGTGGACTACATTGGTATGATTATGAGCAGTGATAATTTATGCTGGAAACGTTATCATGAAGTGAATAATACTGTCCAAATTCACTACAGCTCTACAGAGCTTAAATACCACCGACTTTTTCATCACTCTTCCATACTAATAGTTTTATTCAATCTACAGTTGTATAGAATACTGTTGCTTATGGATTCTACATTGACTTTTTAATTGAAATTTATTGTTTTCATTGTTATTTGTTGGCTAATTTCATGGTATATTAAAACATCGTATCAGAAATTATGACATTTTCCTTCTTTTAACAGGGTTACAGTATGTTCCATGCTTTGAATAAATGGTACAACTTGGGATTTCTCAGTCATATATTTGCCTTCGCAACCTTTCTGTTTTACAAATATTTATGAATGAATACTTTGGCCAACCATTTATTGGAATTTAACTTTGGCTTTTATTCTATTATTATAACTTCCTTATTTTTCTGTTTTTGGGACTGGTAAACATGACAAAACTATTTTGTACAACTATGTTTAAAATATCTGTGACTGGTATTATTTTGTAATAAATTTGAAATTTTAAACATATTCTTCAAATGATACTTTTCTTACAGGAAGTAAGCAACAAATGGGACTAGTAGGTGGTTAAGAGAGGCAGTAATAGATCTTCTACATTCTCCTCAATTCCTCCTGTAACAGCCTTTCAGACATATTCACATACCCCCCCACTGGAAATTACTTTTTAACTCAGTTATTATACTTTCGTTCACACGAAAAAAGTTACATCAAAAACATGACATTTCTCTGTTTCAGTAAGTCTGTTACTGTCAGTGTATAGTCAGTTGTTTTGTTTTCAGGAAAATTGTTTGTTTTTTGAGGAAGACGATGTAACATGTTGATGCTTATGTTACTGTTATATACGTTACTTCCGTTTTTCATCAATGAGGCTACGTGCTGTTTTAATTAATCGAGAAATAACCAGTGTAATGTCGTGTATTCTTCAACTGTCAATGAATTAAAGTTATGATTTTGCGGTCTGTCTATGTTTCAAATACTAAGTGTATAGCTTGTCATCGATGATGTTTTTAAACAAAGTCTCCATGTGTAACATGTCACATAGAGGCTACAGCTAAGATAACTGCATGGACTTAGATGAAGAAAAAAGACCGTATCTAACTTGGGACTGCTGATTGGATCTTTCATTGAATAAAAAAGTATTTACTGTCAAAACTGCATTTACAGACGTTAGATATCATAACGTTTTACACGGTATGTTTGTGGAAGATCTGGTGTTTGATTAAGTCGAATGTTTCATTATTATTAAAGAACAGTTGAGAATGTCTTTCTCTCATTGTGCTGCTTACTTTTAATCTAAGGGAACTGTAAACCATAAAAGTGTTTCATAATTGCCTATATTGTCCTGTGATCATGGTAAGCATAATGATTATTAGGTTTACCTAGTAAAGTTCATTACCACTATATTTCGTCTTACAACTATCACATTAATAGTTCACCGTTTGCTTGAAGTTTTTTTTGACAAAATTTGTGTTCAGTCTTCTGAATAGGTACTTTTAATTATGACAGTACTATCTCTGAATTATTTTATAGCTTCATTTTCTAGAGACAGCACTAAAATTGTTGTTACTTTTTAAGGGAAATTCCGTTTTTAATTTCCTAATACTTTTGATACTAGTCGAGGAAAAGTTAGGTAGTTATGTAGATTTTCTTCGGGTAACCATGTAATACACAGTTTCTCCAGTGACTTTTCCTTCATATGGGTTGCCAACACCGGTTCACTTTTACTCTCCTAGGTTTATCGTAAATTTATTCATTTATTTGTATATTCGATCAATAGAAACAGGTGATCAAATTGCTTCAGGTTCAAGTATCTGTGACTTGAAACTTCCGAATTACAAACTTCGGTGACGTTCGAGTCATCAATGCATTGGTTCGAATCCCCCTCGGTTGACCACCAACAATTTACATATACAATTCGATCGTTGGCCGTAATTACATTGAATAATCTGAACTTCTATATACAAAAGTTTAGTTGTTTATGTGCTGGTAGTTAAATTTGCGTTGAATAATTTAGGATTAGAAAAGCACTGTTTTATTGATGTTGGAATATAGACCAAAAATCTTGGAACCTATTTTATATAGTTGAGGAAAGTAGTATTTTTGGCCAAAATATGAATGCTTTCTGTATGTAGTATGTTTCTGGTCACACTGTCCACTACTTGGTGTCATAAAAAGTTATCAACATGAAAAGAAAGTGTTGAGAAACGCCACTATTTCTGGGAAACTTGGCATAGAACGCCGAAAAGTCATGTATTTTCTATCACGACATTTCGAACTACTGCAAAACACCAAATTTCGTCTGGAAAGCCCACTCATTGAATGATTTTTTTATGTCAATGTGTCGTTGATCGTCATGAATTTGGAGTGAGGATCAATGTGTTCACTTGCTTTCTGCTTTTACCTGCTAGTGGTGAGTTGGGCTTCAAATTGATTTACACGTATACTGGTTCTTCTGTTTTTATCTAAGTCTTCATTTTTCAATCTATTCGCACTCTCGAGTCGAAATTATATTCAAAGTATTACTTCAACCTTTCAAAATACTATATTCACTGATAAAAATAACATGAATGTGAATAGAAATCAAGTTTTAGAAGTTTGACAATGAACTTGATGCATATCCTTGAAATTGTAGTCAACAGAACAACCCCCAGTACCAGCCTTTACGTATATGTTACGATGAGAAACTACTAGACGACATAAACGGTTACTTGTGTGGAAAATTACGGAACCATGATACTTTCTAATTCGAAAACAGGGACTCTTGGAAACGCCTGATTCAAAAAACTAGAGACCAGCGTAAAACGGAATACAGATTTCATAAATATACCTCTCAAAAGTCTAAGATATGAAAAAGTGTGCTCGATTGCAGACTTATTCCATTCGTTAGTCTGTAGACTAGAAATTATCATCAACACTTTCTCAACAAATTTTTATTTCTCATCTGATTTTATCCAACAATAAACTTCTTGATAATTTAGGAACAAGAAAGCAACGGGAAAGTAGCCTTTTGAACCAAAATTCTAGACTGAAATAGCTTCTGGTTATTTAAACCTATGGTTAGTTGGGTATGCAAAGAATCATCATGAGTTGTAAAAACAGTGAGTAAACTTACTAACTTTTTCGATCAAACGTGTGTGTTTTTTTAATGCTTGAAAAAGAAATCAAACATTTCTTTGTAATGTTATCATATGAGAGGGAGCAAGAATATTCATAAAACAGCGTTCATTAATCACATGAAAGTTCTTTTCACAAAACCATAGTGTCATGGTAATAACAGTCTCAACTCGTATGATATATATGAAGTAAGTAAATATCTTAACCTCGCCTGGTTAACTAGTTTACTAGTTACTAGCCGGTCCTAAGCCCGGGTAAAGAGGGAAGGTTGGGCATAGGGCTAGCAACCCTACCCCGTAAAACAAATCTAACCGCTAAAGAAACTTCAAAGCACAAACAAAATATAAAAAATGAAAACAAACTTATTCCCCGCTGGAATCGGAGAGGCGAAATGACGCCAGTTGGTGAAAGCCTTCGGGAAGCCAATTGGCCGATGTGTCTTCTCTCGATGAAAGCGAAAGTAAACGTGGGGACATGGAATGTCCGCACGATGTTTGAACCCAGTAAGGCAGCCCAGATTGCAAGGGAGATGAGAAGGTATAACATCGAAGTGCTTGGGATTTGCGAAAGCAGATGGAATGGGAGTGGACTCTCCAAACTGTCAACTGGAGAATCAATAATCTACTCCGGTCACCCAGACGCCAACCACGAGCACACTGAGGGAGTGGCTATCATGATGTCCTCAAGAGCATCGAAGGCTCTCATGCAGTGGGAACCAATCTCCTCCAGGATCATGACAGCAAGATTCAACTCAAAAGGAAGAAAGGTCACAATCATACAATGTTATGCACCTACAAATAATGCAGAGCAAGAGAAAAAGGAGGATTTCTACAGACAACTTCAATCAACACTGGACAAGACGTCAGTTGGCGATATCAAAATTCTGATGGGCGACATGAATGCCAAACTGGGAGGGGACAACACGGGAAGAGAACTAACCATGGGTCGAGAGGCGCTAGGTGAAATGAATGAGAATGGAGAATTGTTTGCAGAATTCTGCGCATTCAACGATTTGGTGATTGGAGGCAGTGTGTTCAGGCACAAAGATATCCACAAAGCGACATGGATTTCACCAGATGGACACACTAAAAATCAAATCGACTTTATCTCAATCTCAAGAAAATGGAGACGCAGTCTACTTAACACAAGGTCAAGAAGAGGAGCAGATGTAGGTTCAGACCACTACCTAGTGCAAGGAACCTTCCAAATCAAGTTAAAAGCCTTCAAGGAAGCTGGTGATAGACCTCAATTCAAGTACAACACTCGGAAACTGAAGGATGAAACTACAAAGGAGATCTTCAAGGCAGCCATCAAGACAAAATGGGAGACATCGAGCAACATCCCTGAAGAAACCTGTGTGGAAGAACACTGGAAGTCTTTGAAAGCTATGTGGAAAGAAACCTGCACAACAGTATTAGGAAGGAAGAAGAAAGAAGACAAGGAATGGATCTCGACGGATACCTGGAAGCTGATAGAGGAGAGGAGGATGGTGAAGCAGAAGATAAACCAGTGCAAGGATGCTCAACGACAAGAGGAACTGAGCACAATGTATAAAACACTGGACAAAGAAGTGAAGAAGAGTGCACGCAAAGACAAAAGACACTTCTACGAAACACTGGCAAGTGAAGCAGAACAGGCTGCAGGTAAGAGAGACCTGACGACATTGTATCAAATAACCAGGTTGCTATCAGGGAAGAGACCAACACAGATGAAACCAATAAAAGATGAAGAAGGAAATTTAATTACAAAAGAAGAGAAACAGAGGAAACGATGGGCCGACCACTTCAAGAAGCTCTTGAATCGACCACCACCTGCACTTCGTCCAGAAATACCACCTGCAGCCGCTGAATTACAAGTGAACATAAATCCCCCAACGAAAATGGAAGTCCTGAACGCCATAAAGCTACTGAAATGCGGGAAAGCAGCAGGACCAGATGGAATACCGCCAGAAGCACTGAGAACAGATGCAGAGACAACAGCGGACATGCTCACACCACTATTGCAGAAGGTGTGGAAGGAAGAGAAGGTACCTGACGATTGGAAGAAGGGTTACCTTGTCAAACTGCCGAAGAAGGGAGACCTCAGTGCTTGCAAGAACTGGCGCGGAATCACTCTCCTGTCCACCCCAAGTAAAATATTAAGCCGCATCATCCTAGAGAGGCTTAAAGACGCACTGGATTCAAAACTGCGACCGGAACAGGCAGGCTTCAGGAAGTACAAATCATGTGCAGACCAAATTGCAACGCTTCGTATCATCATAGAACAGAGCATAGAATGGCAATCAGCTCTCTACCTCAACTTCATCGACTTTGAGAAGGCCTTTGACAGCGTCGACCGAGAAGTAATTTGGAAACTGCTTCAATACTACGGAGTACCGCAAACCTTTATCCGCCTCATTCAACAACTATATGAAGATGCCACATGCCAAGTAATCCACAATGGGAAGCTCAGTGATGCCTTTGAAGTGAAGACAGGAGTGAAACAAGGTTGCCTACTATCCCCCATGATATTCCTTATTGTGGTGGACTGGATCATGCAGCAAACAGTAGGCAGCGAGAAGAGGGGGATACACTGGACGACGGAAAAGAACCTAGAAGACTTGGATTTCGCCGATGACTTATGCCTAATGTCACATAAACTTGAAGATCTGCAGGCAAAAACTAACAAGTTGATAGAAGAGGCAGCTAAGACGGGACTTCAGGTGAATATAGAGAAGACAGAAGTGATGAAGATACCGCACCACCACCATCAACAACAACAACAAACTCCAATCACCGTCAACGGGAGAAACTTGAAGGAAGTAACCTCCTTCACTTATCTAGGAAGCACTGTTTCAACTACAGGCGGGACGGACGAGGACGTCAAAGTCAGAATCGGAAAAGCAAGACAGGCGTTCATTAGCCTGAAACCAGTGTGGAGATCTTCTGCACTCAGCATGCGGAACAAGATACGGATTTTCAACACCAACGTCAAGTCAGTGCTCTTGTATGGCTCAGAGACTTGGCGCGTCACGAAAGGTATTTCCAATAAACTACAGACATTCATCAACAACTGCTTACGCTCGCTGCTGAAGATCAGATGGCCAGAAAAAATAAGCAACAAGGAACTCTGGGAACGAACCAACCAAGAACCTATCACGCAACAAATATGCAGGAGGAAGTGGAGATGGATTGGCCATGCACTGAGAAGGCCGACTGAGGACATCACGCGTCAGGCCCTCGAGTGGAATCCCCATGGGAAGCGACGAGTTGGACGTCCGAGGGTGACATGGAGGAGGTCGTGCGAGGAGGAAATGAGAGCTTGTGGGCTGTCGTGGAACCAGGTTCAAAAGATCTCAGAGAACAGAGGTCACTGGAGGCGTGCTACTGAAGCCCTATGTTCCACTAGGAACCCAAGGGACTAATAATAATAATAATAATAATAATAATAAGTAAATATCTTAACAGGCTGGCTTCAGGAAGAACAAATCATGTGCAGATCAAATTGCAACGCTGTGCTACGCATCATCATAGAACAGAGCATAGCATTGCAGTCAAATCTCTACCTCCACTTCATCGATTTTCAAAAGGCCTTCGATAGCATCGACCGAGAAGTAATTTGACAGGCAGCTGCTTCAACACTACGGAGTGCTTCAAATCATTCTCATTCAATAGCTATATGACGACGCCGCATGACAAGTCATCCACAATGGAAAGCTCGGTGACGCCTTTGAAGTGAAGACAAGAGTAAGACAAGGCTCCCGCCTATTATTACCGATCGTCTTCTTGGTTATGGTCGACTGGATCATGCAGCAAACCGTGAGCAGCTGTGAGAAGACGGGTATACACTGCACCGATGGAAAGACCTTAGAAGATTTGAATTTTGCCGATGACTTGTGTCTTATTTCACACAAACTTGAAGATCTACAGGCAAAAACTAACAGGTTGACAGAAGAAGCAGCGAAAACGGTACTTCAAGTGGATGTAGAGAAGACAGAGGTGATGAAGATACCCAACGAACAACAGCATGAACAACAACAAGCACCAATCACCATTAACGGGAGAAACCTAAAGGAAGTTGTCTCTTTCACCTACCTAGGCTGGGTAGCATCGTTTAAACTGCAGGCGGTGGCACTGACGAAGATGTCAAAGCCAGAATCGGAAAAGCAAGACAGACTTTCATCAATCTGAAATCAGTGTGGAGATCTACTGCACTCAGCACAAAGAACGAGATCCGGATTTTCAACACGAATGTCAAGTCAGTGCTGCTATGTGATGGTTCAGAAACTTTGCTAGTCACGAAAAGCATTTCCAACAAACTACAGATATTTATCAACAACTGCTGCCCATGCTCACTCGATACTGAAGCTCAGATGGCCAGAATGATAAGAATAAACAACAAGGAACTGTGGCTGACTGGCGACGAACCAACCAAGAACCTATCACCCAACAAATATGCAGAAGAAAGTGGAGATGGATTGGATTTGACATACACTTAGAAGGCGGACTGGGGACATCACGCGTCAGGCCAGGCAGACGCTCGAGTGGAATCCAAAGGGAAACGACTAGTTGGGTGTCGGAGGTGGGGGTGACATGGAGGAGATCGTGCGAGAAAGAAATGAAAGCTTGTGGGCTGTGGTGGAGCCAGGTTCAAAAGTTCAGAGAAGAGAGTGCAATGGAGACGTGCTACTGAAGCCCTTTGTTGCACTAGAAACCTAAGGGAAAAATAATAGTATCAGTGAATATGTTATGTTGTTTTCTTGGGGTCAGCCAACTCAAAACATAATCGTAATAGATGTGTATTCCTTTTGAGAGGAAACTGTTGCTATGTATACTTAAATGTGTACTATGATTTGTATTGGAAAAATGGAAGATTTTTTTTATAAATCAAAGTTTTATTTATCAATTTTATTGACAATTGATATGCATTTAAAGATTTTGCACTACATAATTACTGAGTATTTCTTTTTCCTGAAAACATTTTTCATCAAATCCTTATTTGATAAGAGTTTGTTATCATCTGACTTCTGAAGGGATAATAAACAAACAAAACATTAGAAATCATGTATTAAATTTCATTTTAAAGAGTTTTGTAAATTTTATCAACAAGTTTTAAAACTTCCATCATGTAAATAAAGCAAGATATATAAGTGAACAATATTCTTTCTAATTAGATTCTATGTAATGATGGTGATAATAATTAAAATAATGATAACGTTGACTGAAGCAGTTGTAATATATATATACTTGATTGCATTATATATTAATAATGAATAGTGGCTAGTAGTAGAACCCAGGACGCGTTTTGTTCTATTTGAGACTCGTCAGCTGAGCGATGTTGTTCCTACTAAGGCTCGAACTCGGGACCGATTGCTTCAAACCCCAGAGCGATATCCACTAGACTATTGAATCGCGATAACCACTTCTTGTGTGATGGGCATAGTTTTTATGTGATTGCTTGTATAATCCGGTTGTTGAGTGGACCGAATTGATCAGTCTCTATTGGCATATGAGCTCCTGCGCGGATGCCTGGATATTGCCTGTTTTTGAATTATGTATTGATGATAGATAGTGAAAGTTGTTTATCAGGTATTCTCTGGCCAAAGAAGAGATAAGGGATGGACAAGATTTTTCTCGATACAAAGACTAGGATTATTAGCTCGAATTCCCATAGCTTCTTTTCGAAGGATTAGGTGCTATGTGGTGAATAAACTTAAAAACACTGTTCTTATATAGCAAGTGATCACTATAAACGAAATAAAATGAAACAGAACTTCTAATGGATTTTATGTGTCCGTTTCCCAGCCATATACTTACTACATTATTTATTCAGACTTTGTTCATCCACTTTCTTCGTCCTTCATTATTACGCAACTTTTTTCCAAACCATTTGACCCACTTTGATTATCAAAATTTTTACATTTTCATCCTATTTTCTTAGTTTTATCATCTATATTACAACTGCCTTAGTCAACATTATCATTTTTTTGACTATTGTTGCCATCATTACCATCAATATGGAGCGATAGCTGATGGGGTTTTACAGACACAAACGTGACAATAATGTATGGAATCGCTACCTGCAGTTTATCCTGTTGCACGAAGGTGAAGTATTCCAGCCTAGGGTTCTCGAGTACTAAAGAATAACAGTTGATGATATGGCTATTAATCAGTCAGAGATGCAATCACTCTTAACTAAATTGTGGATTCTGTCTGAAGGTGTATGAACAGCTATTTCGTCCTAGTATGAGACTCCACGGCAGCGCGCATGCATGACCCCGCCCCACTACGGAATGAACCCAGGACCTTCAGGTTCCGTGGCCAGTATCCTGCCATTGAGCCACTGGATTGGAATCCAGTGGTCCGTATTTCTTACTTCTGTCAGTTCATGATGTTGTGTGACCTTCATCCAATGTCGTCGTTAAGTAACTCTCCTCATGTTTGACCTTGTCAGCTCCGCTGGTAACGACTTCTCATTGGAACTTCGGAAATCATCTTTCGAAGCTAGTCACCAATGAACATTAGAATATTTCTATTTGGAGGTTTGTGGAGATTTATTAATTAATTTCGGGTTGGTATTCATTATGGACTGACATCAGTTGAAGGAACATTGGCAACCTGGGAGCAAACTTTCAGATAGAAGTAATCTAGCGCTCATTGGTGACTAGCTTCGAGAGGCGATTCCCGAAGTTCTAGTGAAATATCGTGACTAGTGAAGTCAACGATGTCGAACATGAGGACAGTTACTCAACGACGACAGTGGTTTTAAGTCGCGCTATTTCGTGAACTGACAGAAGTAGGAAATGTGGACCATTGGATTCCGACCAAGTGGCTGACCACGGCGCCTTAAGTTCCTAGGTTCGATCTCACGTGGGTTCATAGGTGCTCACTGCTCAGGACTTCCATACTAGGACGAAACAGCTGTCCAATTCTTCCAGTGTTCCTCCAACTGACGTTAGTCCATGATGAATTCTAACATAATGTGTGGATTGTTTTTTATCATCGTATAACTAATAGTCCTATCTTCATTATAATCCTCCACTCCCTTTCTTATCATCTTACGATCATAATTTAACTTTCTGTATCGGCAAGATGAACCAATGCATCTCTTTGGAGTGTTCTTTATATTCATTTTTGCTAACAATTATATTTCGATAGATAGTTAATGATTGTATTGAATTACCGAGGTTCTATTGCATACGCGTTTTTTCTTCTGAGTTGAAATTGAAGTTCACTTAGCGATCATGTGTATATATGTACAGGAGGCAGTAAGCCACATTTATTGAGTGAGGGATAATGATACTGTCTGACTGCTCACATCTTGACAGGTGGGGCAAGGTTCGAACATGTGAGTGCCTAAAACGATGAACCACAAAAAGTGTCCTGAACAAAACGTTTTTTTTCGAGTTGTCTAAGATGTTTCTGTTGTTCTTGAAGTTTTGAATGATTGTTATTTCAAATACGCTATGACGGAGATGATTACCAAAGGTATTTAAGTCGTCCATATCAATCGAATTTTACCTAAGTTAGTAGTTATTTGAAAGTAGTTTCTTCAATCATGAGAATAATAAATTGCTTGGTCATTAACTAGATGTACATTACGCTAGTGGTTGATCATGTCCCCACTGGTACCCGAATCAATCACCCATCGCTTGATATGTCAGAACTTTATCCATTTGACCTCTAAGTTACAAGAACCACCCGCATTTTTTTGCCTTAGATATCGCTGTCAATAAATAACTCACCAGTGTTATCAGTTCCAGAGAGTAAAGAAATTTACTGCCAATAATGAAGTAACCATCAAGATACTCTCCAAACTGAAATAAAATATCTTTGCATCATTAATATAGTAATCTTTCTCAAGAAAAACATATCTTAATACATGACAAGTATTCTGTTATGTATTCGTTTCTATGCAAGTTTGTACAACAAAACAAACCACAATGAAGATGTTGCTTACTTTTCAGACAATGAATTATTTACTGGTAGGTTTGTAACGCATATCCATTTGTTTGAGTCGACGGAAGATGATGTCATTTGACCTGTTTTATCGCTAACCGAACTTAAACGTATTGCTTTATTATAGGGAATAGGCTGTTTCCCTTTTGTTATAGTACAAGAATCAGAAGATATATTTGGTAAAATTGAATGTAGATTCTTCTTAGTGAGAATGTCAGTTGAACCACGCAACTAAATGTAAAGAAAAAAAAGATGGTTTCGATAAATTTAAAATTCATAAATTAACTGACTATCGTCATTACGAAAGCTTTTCTTGTGTAATGAAATAAAAGACCATTAGAACAAGTATTATAGTGAAAATAAACTAACTTTATCATATTTCTTTAGTGTAATTAGAAGACGAAGTTTACTTGAATAACTTGATGTATTTGCGTGATATATTCCGAACAATCTGATCACACCATTACTTGTCAAGTCGACATATTTATAATCAAAGAGTGAGAAGACAAATACAACAATTAACATAATAGGGGATTAAAATTAAGAAAGATGAGAGCAAACAGGAAGTGACCTAGTTGATCTTAATCTTGGTAAAAAAAAACAAAGTTTACCAAGGTAAGTATAGTGTAAGGACAAATTGTTTCTGTACACATAAAAGTGGTTTCAATTTGTTTATGGTTATGGCTTCCGTATATCTCAGTATGCGTCCCTGACTGTTTCTATATAAAACTTTCAAAGCTATTTCAACATTAGCTCAGTTGGTAGAGCATCGGGTCGGTAACTTAGTGGTTGCTGATTTGAATCCGGTCACTGTCCATATTTTCATCTCACCTTCAATCAACACCCAGTATAAATACTAGTCTGCCAAACTACGGCTATCTCAGATAGTCAAATGATAATTAATTTTGTGACTTATTCCAATGATATAGTTAGTTGTAGATGAAGAGGATCGTCTCCCACCAGCGTTTACCGGGTTTCACACTGTTTTTGAAGCCATTCAAGTACATGTTCTCCCACCCTCAACTGCATGGCTCGATTACTCTTCCCTATGTATGTATGACCACACACACACGTATGATTTGGTAAACACAATGTGATGTAATCATTGATGCAGTACTTAGGTTTGTGATGAAGTATGTATTTTGCTTTACGCACAATGATTAGATTAGTTACGTAATATGTTTTCTTAATGGCTGATGTTAGCCTACGTCTCAAAATGATACCGTTCAACTCCCCACTGTATGGTAAAGTGATACGGACGCTTTTCTTAGGAATTCGATATGAGTTAACTTTTTGAAAGAATAAACAGTTTGTAGTACTTTTAGGATTAGTGTATGCATATTTTCTACCCATGACTTTCAGTATGTCACCGAGGCTTATTTCATCTTAATGAAGTCGCACAAGTACCTCCATAAGTTTAGAGTCAATTGAGTAAAAAAAATATCAAATGGTTTTTGTAAAGTGAGTATATCTGATATAGTTATAATAAACAGCTATTATACACATTTAGCCAGGAAAAATAATCAGTAATTTCACATATATGCAGACTAGAGATGTGCATAGAGAAGTCTGTTTCTGAAAGAATTTAGTTTCAGCATACATGAAAAACGCTTCGTATGAGAGAATAATCATCACTTTTCAAAAGATCTTCTTACATAAAGTAATCAAGCATGTTCCAACTCCCAATGCATTGCTGACTATCTCAAACAGTATAGAGTAATATGATTTCTACTTATCCTACTATTCCTTGACGTATAATCGACAATAACGAGAGTATAAGAATAGTTGCTACGACGTAGTATTTGTAGATTTATGTATGACTCCTTTATCATCGATTGACAATGTATTGTGACAACTTACTGTGAATCATATTGTTCACCACCTTTATCTAGTAGGCATCACTATGATGTTCCAGGACTGGTGTGCAGCGACTCCGAGCTTAACGATACATTCCACCACTTCACTCATTTGCGGAGTTGTATCACCTCGAACTGACTGGTTGCTGACAAAATCTTAGTTCCAATACAGAAAGCCCGTTTGTCATGTACCAACTTACGTCACCTGTAGCGTCAGTGAGATATCCGGTTGTCTATCAAACGATGAGTATACTGCGCTGCGGTCCGTTCTGTCCTGCTATACGGCTGTGAGATATGGCCATTAAAAGTAAACGTGAAACAGTTACAGTTTCTTGGCTATATGTGTGTCTTCGTAGCACTGTTTGAATTTGGTGGAATCATCGTGTGAGTAATGTTGAGATCAGGCGAAGAGTAATAGGCAAGACAACCAAGTCAGTTGACGAGGTCGCGAACCTTAGTCGACTGAAATAGCTTGGACGTGTACTGCGTACGACAAGCCACCGCCTACCTCGATGTGGCATGCTAGAGGAAGTTGAATTAGAGTGGAAGTGGGTTCAAGGTAGCCAGACTAAGACGTGGCACCAGCCGATGAAGTCCCTGACTGTTGGTCTGAGTCATGTGGGACGATGTAGACTGTCTACTTGGGGTCCCTGAGACCAAAGAAGTCAGTGGTTGAGGTCACCTAGTGACTTCACTGAAAATCGATCACAATGGGGCAGATTTATTCACTCCTCGACATCTAAAGCTTGAATATTTACACTAACCTTTATCCTTTTCTATCTATCTGTTCTTTGTGTACTTCTGTGAAGTGTGGCAACCTTTTATTCATTGTATAATTCAGGCTAAATGTTAGAGGCATTAAGGTCTACAGTCGCTAGTAATGTAAAGTGGATAAGGAAGCTTAGAAAGCTATCTAGGAATTAATACTGTCAGCCAGTTGAGTACATTGAAGAAAGTGGTAATGAAGTCATCCAGACTTATGATATAAAATTTTTAAGTTAAATTATTTAACATTAGTGAATACAAAGCATTCATCAGTATTCTGAGTTATAAATATAGCTGGCTAATTTGAAGTCAAATTTGTTACTACTCCTAAACTTTTGTGAGCTGAAATCCTCAACATGCGCCCTAAACAAAGGTGAGTGATGAAAATATCCTATGAAAATTCGTTCATTTCCGCTCTACATAGAAACAAACTGCACGCCACCACATGAAGTACATTTCAAAAATGTGATATTAACTACACACTTGGCAAAGGTGAATAACATTTGGATAGGATTGTTTAGTGAAACGTAATTCAGAATATCAAATCTATTATTAATAATAACAATGAAGTAGAACATTTATCTCATTCTAAAATTTTATTCTTTCCAGGTTGATATTCATCATGGACTGACATGAGCTGAACATTGGAAGCACTGGACAACTGTTTCGTCCGACTAGTATGGGACCCCTGAACAGTGCTCATCCACGACCCCGCTAGGGATTCTACCAGTTCGTGGTTATCTGGAAAATGTGATGTATTTGCGCAATACATTTCCTCGGTCCAGAAGAAAGATATACTTAGAAGTAGTATTCATCATGGACTGACATCAGTTGGGAACCATTCAAAATCTGGGAGCACTGAACAGCTGTTTCGTCTTAGTATGGGACTCCTTAGCAGTACGCAACCACCACTCGGCTACGGATCGAACTCAGGACCTTCAGGTTTCACAGAGGACGAGTTAACCATTCAGTCACTGGGTCGGTTTCCAGTGGTTCACAATTTACAACTTCTGTCGATTCACGATATAGCGCGACTGTCACCCAAGGTCTTCAGTTAGCATCCACTTCACTTCCGACTGGTTGACCCCACAGGTCACGGCTTCTCATTGGAGCTTCCTGATACCCACGTGGAAGCAAGTCACTAAAGAGCACTATACAGTAATGTATTTTTGAGATGAATGCGGATTTTTTAATTTAGATTTTCCCAGGCTTTCAATGGTTCCCCAACTGATGTCAGTCCATGATGAATACTACTTCTAAATTAAAAAATCCCTATTCATCCCAAAGATATATTTCTTAAAGTACCATACAGAGTGGAAACAAGTAGTATAATATTGAAGCAGAGATTAAAATCTGTTATCAGTAAAACATACGATTCAGCTCAACTTATCATTGTTGAGACAACAAAACACCTACTTCACCACAAACCTCAATCTCACATAAATGATTATGTCACATCCCAGTGTGTTTACCAATTTACATATATATGTGGGCACACATAAATAGGGAGGAGTAATCGTTCAATGCAGACTAGGGTGGGTGAACACATCCCCAAATGGCTAGAAAAACAGTTAACACGCAAATATTGGTAAGTCCAGGTGACAGACTTCCATCTTCATCTAAAGCAAAACATATCATTGAAATGAATCTATGGGGTTAATACAAAAACAGCCTTCAAGATATTACACAGGAATAATCAAGGGCGCATACTGAAGTTTGACGAAGCGCTAGCCATTCGTAAACTAAAGACCCCGCTGTGCTTACAAAAACAATTTGTTTCACTTAATTTACCTTGGTAATTCTAATCTGATTACATCACCAAGATTGGTGTCACACACAACCTTCTCATTTTCATTATATTTGACCTTTAATTGTCAGACATAAATTGACTTGATAAGTAAATGTGTGATCGAGCAAATTGTTTGAAATGTATTGCACAAATACATCACATTTATTAGATAATCTTCGTCTTCCAATAACGTTATCAAAATTTATTAAAGGGGCTAGTTGTTTCATAATAACAATTGTTATCCTTTGTGACAGGATTCTGTTATACCACTTTCAACGTAGTTAGTAATAGTACATGAGTAAGTCTAACACATCTGCAGTAAACAAACAAAGTATTAAGTTTAACTAAGTGATAAACAAAGGTACCAACTATTTCAGTTAGTAGAAATTCTGTGACTATATTTACTAACTGGATCAATAATATCACCTAAACAACCAGAATTTATATGTTTCCATAGTGCTATTGTCTTATATTCATTAGATCATGACCAACTAGCCTATGTAGCCTATATAATTAATAAAAAGTTTTATTCATACTTTACACATAATTACAATGAATTTCAATCAACAAAGGACATTTATAAATGGAACAATTAACTAGGATATAAAAGTAAAGGACAAGTTATGAATTATCGAACAATACCAGCCATAAAAAAAAACAACAAAACTAATCACTTACAAAACGTGAATAATGATCCAGAAGAGTGTTTATTTCACTTTTATAAAAGCCTCTTTTAAATGGAATAACTATACCCTATAACAATGAAATAGTATACTTGATTAGTTTTTCTTTAATACAATAAACTTTACTTTCCAATGAATTTTCTCTAAAATATATGGTCTATGTGGTATAGGTGAACCAATTTTTACTTCAACAATTTATGTTGATGTCTATGATATGCATCAGCATAATCATAAATTAATGATGATAAACTCTAAAATGATAAAGAATACAATTGTTTATATTGAAAAAATTTTTAAAAAGGTTTTTTTATTTATAGAAAATGATTTTATTACTGGATATTTTAATGGTTTATACATCAAATCTTCACGTCGACTTAAACCTATTGCACCGAATAACCCACTGGATAAGCATATTCCAAGTACAACATGTCTGAATATATTCCCATTGAATTCAGAGATAAATGATATTGTAAATCGTTTAAAGTATTCTTGTTCTTGTGTAAGAAAACTTGGAAAATAAAATTTAAAGAAAAAAAGAGATGTTATTATCAGCATTATACATTCACTTACATGGATAATATAGTTGCTTCTAAACATTTAATTGGTAATGCAGCTTGTATCATTATTCTTACAACTTCTTTAAGTCTGTGCATTATATATATATATATATATGAAGCAGAAAGTAGAATATTTTCATTAAATATAATTTAATTGGTTTACCTTACAATTGGAGCATTTCGATTGATTGGAAAAAACTGCATCCCTGTATAATTGTATCTAAAAATTTGAGATAATTGGTAAACTGATTTGAACAATGTACAAATCATATTGAAATGAGTTTGTTTGTTTTAACAAAGAATTCTAATCGAAACTTATAGAATAAATCAACTTGTAAACTGTGTATTTAACATCAAAGAAATGACATTTATAGACAAATTGAAGTCAAAGTGGAATCTATTCCATTGACTACTTACTGTTCTATATTTTTCTCCTCTTCAAAGAGGTAACATATAAAACAAAATAAATTAATATAGACGTAAAGCTTATGGCACTATGTCGTAGAAATTAATTCCATGTTGGATTCATTTATTTGATTCATAACACACAGTATTAGATACAGTATTACTAACTTGATGACGTTTATCAGCATATATATATATATATCAGGATAGTAGTCGTTAAATATGGTACACCTTAAACTAAAACCGTCATTTGCAAATTATGCTTCATATCCTTTTCTACTTCTTTCTTGATTTGCTCTTCATACGCCTGCTTTGTCTTAAGCGTTTCTCTTGGCGGAATCCTTAACAATTGCTAGTAATTCTCTACGATTTCTGCCATTCTCTCAATATATACTACTTATGTCCATTCTTATCAGCAACGCCCACAAAAATACTAATTTCCACATCGGATTTTTGTAGTCCTGCCACCCAACTCATATTCTTCGTTTCTATTCGTAGTAAAAATGTTTCACATCTCTGTTATAGGTGTTGTGTCACTCCTGTTACATGTGTTGAGTGTTGGTTGATTCGATGAACAAAGATTCAGTAATCAATCTCTCTCTATCCATCCACCTAATTATAGTGAACTTAATTCAGTACAGTGGTTTTATCCCACCCACCCTGTTGTGTAGTTGTGTGTTAATGCATGCATTGCAATAGTCGAGGTTCTCTTCTAGATTATTGATATTATTCGGGTTTGTCATTCTATAGTTAGCTAGTTGCCCCCGACTGGCTAGTTTGATCTATGTACTTGACCTCACAGTCATTACATGGAAATTGATAGATTAGATTGTTTTGCCTTGCAAATCAACTAAACAAAGAGAATGTGGAAAACAAAACAATAAACTGTGTTCCATCATTGCCTGAGTTCTTAACGCAGTACACTGTTCAATTTAGTACTGATTAGATTTGTATACGCAATTATTCCTTAAATAAAAATTGACCTGTATAGGCATAAATTATCAAGCTATGATACTGATCCAAATAATCAAAATATGTAGTTCAATGAATAACGATGAAGTCTGTTGTTCCAACAAAATTTCCATCATGCATGATCTTGGGTGGGGAACAGTTACGATGGTGCTTATTGAAATCATTGTTCAAACCCTGAAGTTAACTTACACTTTTCTAAAGTTATTCCGGTTAAAATTAAAACCAGAAAAGAAACACTTTATTGGAGAAGGCTGAGTTTAAAAATGTAGAGTAAATAGACTATGGTCCATATACAGCAATTTTATCATTTCTGTCAATCTTCACTATTCTCTACACATTACCTCAGTGAATATGTTTATTCCTCTCTAGATTTTTGTACTAGTCATTTTATCTCCCATCATATCTACTGGTTGTTATAATTCTCGGGATCCGCATTTATGGTGACCCCATGTTAAGCCTTTATTTTCTTCCCTTTCACATTCTATGACACTTCAAAATGCTATTTATGTAGTGTGCAGCTGAAAGGTGTTGGCTTCAATGTTTGGCTTTCAACCACTTGATGATCAGTAGAAATCCTCACTTAGGTTTAGGATGTCGGATAATACCGCTGACTTTCAGATAATTGATATGTCTCATAGCCCTTTCCGTAAACCTGACAATATAGATCATTACTGATAAAACAAACTGCATAATTTTTCACAAAGTTCAGAGTACAGTAACATCATCTTCTTGGTGACTAGCAGAGGAATCCAGGACGCGCCTTTCATCCTCGTCAGCTGGATCTACTTGCACCCCAGTAAGTGCAAGTGGATTCTAGTCACCAAGATCAATATAACATCATAAATATCCAGTAATATCGAAGCGTCAGAATGGGAGCCCATCTCCCAAGAGAGATCGAGCAATTCGGCCCTGTACAACAATGGGAAATTACAAGTATCAAAACAGCAAATGATTTCCGTTCGACAAGAGGTGGCTATCGTGCCTCAGTAGCTTAGTGGATAATACTTACGCATCTTAAGCGAAGGGCACTGGGTTCGAGCCTCAGTGGGAAAAACACTCACTGGGCTGCAGGTATGTCCAGCTGACAGGTCCCAAACGCTACGAAACGTACGTCACCAAGATCAGTATAACAAGCAATTTCATCTTGCCTAGTCCTGAGTGCTGAACACATTCTGTCAATAGTTTTGCTAAGATTCACTATCACAATGCACTTTGCTAGAATTTGGTTGGTTGGAGACGATCTGCAGGAAGCCCTGGAACTAGGTTAGATGTTTGTTGGAACTCGTCAGTAATCCATGTCGGCAATCTCGGAGAAACTAATATCACTTCTGAGATTAAAGCTGGCGTCACCCAGTGCTGCAATCAGAGACGTTTCCCACCGATTACCTTCATCAAACCAACATCTAATTAAGAGCACCCTAATTACAAAATTTGGTCCGTCATTATTCCAGTTAACCATAGTAGTCATTATTTCAGAAGACAGTCTAATCCTAAGTATAAAAGATTGTGGTAAATCATATATTAGTCTTTTCAGAAAAGCAAAAAAGAGGGTTTTATCTTTTTCTATTAACCTCTACATACAGCTGTAAGAAGAAACTAAGACTAAGCACACTTCTAAAAGGAGAAGATAATATGTTACAGATTTATTCTTCTGAAAAAAAAAGAACTAGAACTTAAAAGGTAGACCTTTGTAAAAGGCGAAGACTATGTCTCATGTTGTAAAGAAATACTACAACAAATAATCTAAACTACTCACTTTGTATATTTCGTAAGTAAGACTAAGAAAGTTAGCTGGTAGAAGTAATAATAAACGTAAACATCAAGCTCTGAAAAGATTTCATTATTGTTTTTATTAGTATTATCATATATTTGCGACTGTTCAAATTTATCTTCCATAGAGCCTTTTTTCCTCTCCCAGCTACAAAAAATAACTTCAAGATGGCTTTAACCAAAATGAACAAAGAGAGGTAGGTAAATGTATCTTTAAAAAGCTTATTCATTGAGATAGGCGGTTAGATTGTATTATGGCAAGTGAATATATTCACAGACAATGATAATGACCAGTATCTGTAATGCCCTATATTCAAGAAATAGTAGTCATACAGAGATTTCAAGAATATTTCTTGTAGTTTAGTGTCTGTATTTGCACCTCTAGCAATATAAACAAAAGTTAGGAAGAATAAACAGCCGATAAACATGTCATACAGAAGATGAATCAATGGACAAACATGGAATTTGTCAAATTACCAGTTACCAAGGCCTTTGATAAACAAACACACTTTCACCCATAAAAGACACAAATTATAGAAGGTTGTTTTGATGAAAAATAAGAAATAAGGCCCCACTAAACCTAAGATCAATCTATAGCTAACCTGTTCCCTGATTCTGTACATTAAACATTGCATCAACCGGTTTTCTATATTAAGTCGCATGCTGGAGATGACTAAAGCTAACAATGCAATATATTTTTATGAAGAGACATACCAGATTTAGTTGCTTTTAACTATCTCAGTTAAAAGAAAATTTGTGTGATGCAAGAATGGTGTGATTTGCTGAAGTTATTGTAACAAATTCAATAATTCTGCGGCGTAAATAAAACTACAGTATGATGATATCAGTAACAAAACATGGACAAGATATATAAGACAGTGATGATTTGTGGCAAACTAATCTCCTTGGTATATAATGGTCCTTGAGTGGACCCAAATACACTTTAAAAGAATACATTGTCTATTTAGAAAGAAAACTCTAAAAGTTAAATTGAAAATAAGTGTTTTGGTAATGACTAAAATGTTACTATTTGAATTTCTTGCCAGTCTATGGTGATTTCTCATGCAATAATGTGCTCCAATGAACAGTACAAGTGTAGTTGGAACCTTCAACAGACCTGACTCTTTTTTTGTCAAGAATTCCTTCTACATGAGAACAAATTACTAGTGCATTAGGCTAAAACGATCGATAATCTCGCTCGGAGTACCACAAAATAAGACTATTTAAAGAACTGAACTTCATCGTCAGTACTTTATATGGTTCTAAACCTTATTGACTGAAGAAAGGTTGAAAGTTAGAAAAAAACTCAGCAGAAGTACCCCTTGACATGTAGTTTCCCAGAAGCATCCCATACTGATATAGAGCTCATCATTGGGATTCTCAAGTATACCTGGGAATACTTTATAAAACATGAAGATTTTCCTTGACATATAAAAGTCTCGAAAGTACCGGGGATTTGGATTCCAGGCAGCGACAAAATCCGAAAGTGGATGTTGCAATAATTCTCAACCAATTAATATTTATACTTGTATTAATTTTGATGGTAAGTAGTTGCTAGAAACTTTGAAAATTCAAATGAAGCCTGATGCTAGTAAAATAATCGCAGAGAATTCCTCAAAATAGAGACAAATCACTCTATATGTTTACTCAGGTGATAAAGTTGACTTTCGCTACGCTGAATCAATAACACAGAAATATACAACATTACATCGTAGTTCAATTTATTCCTTGTTCCTGATAGCACAGTAATTTGGCTTCACAAACTTCAAGTCAAGAAATGGGTTACAAATCTGAAACTCAGTGCAACATTTTATTATCGACTACCTACTGCCAGATTAGTAAACTAAAGCTTAGCAGCCTTGTAACCTTCGGTGCATATCAGTTAATGTTTTTGAAAACCAATTTCTCTCGCACTGGATATCCATAAACACAAAAACCTTTGTTTCAAAATTATCTAGATATAAAGTGTCGATTTTTCTGCAGATGTACGAAAAACAATAATATCTCCCTGATTTGATTACAAAGTAGGTTATAAGTCTGTCATTCTACTTTGTTGCACACAGCTAATAGTTCGCAAGAAATATTTTCAGCGTTGGTATCGTACATGACGCTTAGGAAAAATAATATTTTACCTTACCTCGTGTGCAGCTCATATGCAAAATTTATGGGCCTGCATAGTATGAATTTCTGATGGACAAAATATGAGCTTCAATATATTAGTTAGACTGAATAAACAAAACTGAAGTCAGAGAAAGGCCATACAAAAGTATAAGTAACTGTAAAATGAATTACACTAAAATCTGCGTGTATGTTTTGCATTCTAAACGAAGTATTCCTGTTATATTTTGAGCGTCAATTTCTGGTTTTAACACTGCAAAATAAAAGTCGGTCAAACATTCCACCTATCATCGAAATGAAACTGGTCAAAAATATACAAATAGTGTTTGGGATCAAAAAGAACTTAGTGAAATGCCTAGCATACGGTGCATCAGTTATTTTACCCAGAGGATGCTATAAAGGGAGAGTGCACCACCATCCGTGATCTGCTTAGTAGGAATGGCTACCCAGACAAGTTTGTAACTAAGCACATGAATATTACGAGGGTTAAGAAAACAATGTCAACAAAAGCAAATCTTCTTGAAGCTGCAATTTGAGAGTGATATTGCCAGTGAGATCATCACACAACACAAAAAAGGGGTCTTGCACAAAATATTCCCAGGCACTAAATTATGTCCCGCCTTCCACAACCACCCGATTCTAGGTGCAAAAAATAAAGACAAACTGCCTGATTCTGCCACTTCTATGTGCATTTATCAATTCAACTGCTCCTGTGGAGCGAGTTACATTGGGCGTACAATGAGGCAGTTCCATCGTCAAATTTCTGAGCACCACCCATCATGGTTAAACAGGGGACAAATTAGAACTATAAAGAACTCCATACTTGCACACTAAGTTGACAGAGAACATCAAGTGGTTACTGAAAAAACCTTCAAAGTTATCTATCAGATTCTAATTAATTTACCTGATGGATTACGCACTCGGTTACTTCACATAGCAGAGGCGATTGCAATCCACCTTTACAAACCTAGCCTTTGTATCCAAAAGAAGTTTGTTCGACCATTTTCATTACCGTGGCCGTCAACATGATGTAACTTCTAGGTTTATTTCGTGCATTTCTTCCCGTCCTTGTTTCTATCAATATTCATATTTCCTATTTTAGTAACTCCATTGATTATTCACATCATTATTTCCGAAACACCACGTGATTGGTAATTTGATTAAATTGTAAACCTATGTATTAGTGTAGAGCCCAAGATGAAGACCTAATTGAAAAGAAATATATTTCTTCGCTCAATCAGTCTGTTTCTAAGTATCTGTTGCTTTAAAAGCCTAAATATTGTATTTTTTGTTGGTGTTTCTTCTCAATAATACTATATATCTTCGTGATATCAACATAGCACAAAGCTCAAAACATTGGGCGGAAAAATTCACATTTCTCCAGTTGATATTTAAGTTATTCAAAAACTATCTTACCAACTGAGAATTACTCCAATACTTAGCGTCACTCATACTTCATTAAGACAGTTTACATTTAGTATGTCCGAATATGCAAATAAACTTTGCTGAATGAATCTAAAATCCTTCTAAAGTAATTTACTTTGGCCGTATATCCACTCTTTTTCTGTCATCTTCACCAACTGAATGCTTCTCTTGTTTGGCCATCAGTGCAAAGCAGTCACAGGCTGCACCAAGTATAGACCAAGTCGGCATTACAATACTATCCATACTTTTGTGATATATGGACTGAAATTATTCGCAAGTCGCTCTTACTTTAAACCACTGGTAGATATGGCAAAACAAAACCAATACTGGGTATTTACAAACGTAGATGAAAACGCACTGTAAACATTTTACATGTCTTTGTGCGGCGCATTACTGAGTAAACGTTGAACTACACAACAAGATATTCCGATTTTCCCAGCAGATTTTAAGTGAATCAATATAAACCAAGTGATTCCTTTTTGCTTGTCCATAAGTATTGTTTATCCGTTTTGAGTTCGGTAAGGCTACGAGTAACCATGTGAACAGTTTAATATCGGTTTACTTTTCGTAAAAATGTCTCATTAGTCTCAGGAAAAAGAAGCTGTTATGATGAGGGAGTATTGCGTCATCAAATATCTGTTCAGACTGATATAAAATGTTAAGAAAATATGTAAGAAAAAGAAAATGGAAGATTTTACAAAAAAAGACTTATGTGTTTAGTTTGAAGGATAGGTTGTGCTCGAAGTAATCTTTGTTTTGTGAGAATAATTGAAGTATGTAGAGAAAAGCGAAGACAATGAGGATTAGCTCAGGCCTGTAATAATGAAATGAATACAGAGTGAAGGGAATACAAGTACCACATGACCATTTGAACTATTTAGGTGTCCAATGGTGAATTTCTGTATGTGAACACATTTTCTTACAGTTCATATCTGAGGAGGAAAACGAGTGACTGCACCAGGTGGTGAGCTCTAAGTAAGTAACCCTACTTAACTTGCCATGAAAAGCTGAAGGGCAAAGATATCTGGGAAACAGCCTGAGGCACAGATGAAGTGAGGCATATTTAAACATCTCAAGATTGAATATCGTAAGGATCATGTATCTTAACCTCAAATCTGTCCCACAAAAATAGTGACTGGAAAATCTACACAGCTGTAATTATGAGTGTGATAATATGTAGTAATCTTGCATACATATCTCGTGAAAACCTATGACAGACATTAAAGCTGTAGAGGCAATGAGTCTGAAAAATAAATATACTAGGGCCCGATGAGATTCAAAATTGATGTTGACTCTCGTAGTTCTAATAGACTGGATAAGCTTAAGCTACACAGCCAAGCACCCACGCCGTTTGAGACGTTGTCGTGTTACGTAGCTCATATGGGACCCCCTACCCAGTTAATCGGAACACGTCGGTATTTTCCTGCGGCCAACTATAGATACCATCCTACCTGACTACTCTAATGTGGTCTTCCTTTGTCTTGCACTCGTGGTTATATAACAAGTACTAATGACTAGAGCTTGGGGTTTGCATTTATCATGTTCGCATAGGATCCATTTGTAAACGGTCCTCAAAAAATTGTGTGGCATATTGGGTTTTTATTAAAAACCCATTCGCTATTATCCTACACTTTTTTCAGTGCGCTGCTCACACGTTTTTAACGAAAAAAGCATGAAGTTTATATTTAGGTGTTAAATTGAAATTTCAATTACCCGAGTTTGTTCAAATAACACTGAGCATTCTCTATGTACTTCTCAGGTTTTTCGTATTTATTAAACCTGAAAAGAGGAAGCTTGGATGCTATAATCAAATCAGAAAAATTTACAGGTATTTTCTGAACATCAAACGATGCACAACTTTGAAAGGATTTCCACAATTCAGTAATCTCTCTTTCACAATTTTTATTCCTTGTTATACAAAACTCAAACATTGATTTCCATGTTTCATAACTAATAGGAAGACCATGCCTATTTGTGAGATAAGGAACATTTTCAGACATTTCAAATGTTTGCGCTTACTAATACCATGACCTAGATAAGTAAAACACACTCTGTGAGAAATATGTACAAGCAAAGTAAAAGGTAACAATATGTTTCATATCTAACTTGTGTCTTCTTTATCATGTTTCTGTGAGGCTTTGATGGGAAAAGATGGGCTGTATACAATATCTGCTTTCGGCTTCCATAAACTAGTTCCACAATACAATATCTGTTTAACGAGCTTGTGTATACCAGTTGATTTCTTCGTGCTTGCTTTTTGGTCTTGCCAATTCCGATGCTACAGATCCGGTCGCCCGTCTACTGTAGCTGCGGTATACAGAACAGAAGGCTGAGAGCTGGTTAGTTGGCCTGAGTCTGTGGTGCAGTTAGGTTCTTCAGTTGTCAAGATGCCAGACAGTTGTTTGAACTGGTCGTTTGATAGCGTTAGGCATATTGAAGAGGTGACCTAGGAAAACGAATTTGTGTGAGTAAACTGACGGAGTAATCTATTTACACCCAAGTAAGATGAGAGGGGTCTAAAGATATGAAGAACTTAGGTAAGTGAGGCTAATTCACAGAGAGGGGAGGGATGAAAAGTGCTTAAATGTTTATAGTAGGAAGGAGACTGGTCTAGAGGTAATGTACTTGAACCTTGAGGTCCCAACACGCTGTTCAGTGGTCATGGGCCGTCAGGAGTTTGGAGACACAAGGCCTACCCTATTTGAAGTCATGTTGAGCATCAATGGGTACTTGCTTCGTGCCCAGATGTGCTCTGACTCTGTCATCCCTCAAGCTCTCCATGACTTTTGATATTACTGGCAAAGTTGCTATGGGCGTCCAACAGTCCGGGTTCTGCTTGTCTTCTTCTTCGAAGGTAGGAGACAGGATGGCCGGTTTCCGCTCCCGTGGGAGTCTTTCTTAGTCTACGTAGTGTTGGAAAGGATTGCAAAGTGATTTATTTGAACTTACTTCTCTGATTTTCATCTCAGCTCAACGTATTTCAGGGGTTCCGATGCAGTAGATCCGGCTTTATAGCTGCATAGTCTCTGACAGACTTGGGGTATAGGTTAATTTAGCCGACAGATATATGGCTTATGCTAGGAACGCGCATCTGTTGAGGTAATCAAGTTTCATGCCATCGAATGGTCGGCTGAACTGTCGGAAAGGCTATGCAATACTTGTTGCAATAAATTTCATAAACAAACTTATTTTTTGCTCTCACTTCTTGGTCCTGCCGAAAGACTCCAGCTTACGAGTGGATTTCGACGCAGTGGATTCGCCCACTCCCCTGCCGTCCCCCTAGTATACTGGATGGTTGATCGGGAGCTGGTCAAGTATGTGTGGGTTGCCTGACTTGCTCGGGGACTGCGGTGCAAGTAGGGTCCTCAAATTTTGACGCCAGACAATTTTTGGAGGATAAGGTGATTCAAAAGATAACCCAGGGGAAAATGGGCAGAACGAAAAGGAAGATAATTGAAAGGAAAGGAGAAACTTCGGCAGGTTCGAGGAAGATGGAGATAAAAACAACGAAACGCAGTGTTGAAATGAGTAGGGTTAAATCTTCGAGAGCAAAAGGAGATGATAGGAACAATGAAAGCAATGGCGAACACGACGGAAATAAAAATAATGATAGTGTCGGTTTTGTAACTGAATTGGTCAGGCGCAAAAACACAGGTGTGCATAGCACTGAGTCAAACATAGGATTACTGTGGTATCGACAGAAGTAAGCCTATCGCAATGGTGCGAAGTCAAAACGTTTTCTCCACACAGTACATATCCCAACTGGACAGGCAAAGTTCATGCATCGCTACGCAGCTGACCAAAACTCTCCTTGGCCCAGCGACAAACTGTTTGATAGCTACCTCAGTGGACAGTGCATTCCAGTGGCCACAGACCCTCTGATGAACCACTTTCCTTGGATTTCCAAGAGGACTGTCATGCTGGCCGTTCGGTAATATTCTGTTAGGAAGACTTGGATTACTTGGAATCTTTCAGGCTGTTGTCAAGTCACGATGGAACCGATGGTAGCCTGTGTAATATAAATAATTAGATATTTTTACTCTCAGGTTATGAATTTCACATGAGAGAAACCGGTTTACAGGCATCATCAAATTAGTGATTGCAGAGAAACCTAAAAGACTTGGGGAGTGTTGAATGGTACGGAAGGAAGGACATTGAACTCTATCATGATATCAAGTGCCTAAACGTTATGAAAAGAGCAGGAAAATATCACTTTACAGCATATACGCATCCTTCTGAGTTTGGATCATTCCTACTTATGTTCCTTTTTCACATCAAAGTGGCATCAAATCGGTGCAATATTCCGTGTTTACGTTATGAGTAGTCGATATGATTGGCCCTTCTGCAAAACCCAGTAATTCCCCAGATAAACGTTTATTTTAACGGCACTGTTCAAAGATTTCAGGAATAAGCAAGTATCCAGGCAATCATTTATTCCTAGTGAATATCTAAGTTCGGGCATTTTTTACTCTTCAAGCGTTAGGGTTAGATTTAATGCTGAAAACAGTTGTTGTGATGCAAGTAATAAAAGACTGGAAGAATCGTCGTTCAACAGTGGCGGATTTGACACATGTATAAAAGTACACAGATTTCACATTAAAGCATGCAACATTGTCGAGGAGATACATTAGCTGTTATTTGACTTCTGTTAGGTTGACCCATACAAGACAAAGTACTAGGGAAATCTACTGTATGGCATTGTTATGGACGTGTTGCCGTTGGGTAAAGTGATCTCTCGGACGTTGTCTCTTGTCCAGATTTCCACTGCATTTGTTACGGACCAGAAATTGGAGACCAGATATTATGCTTAAGGCTTCGTATGTGCCGTCATTTATGGTACTGGTTGGGGGTTGGGTTGATTGTGAATCTGCTGAAGAAACGAGAAATTGCAGGGAAAGCTAGTCGTATGCCTCCAACATCAGTCTGCGATATGTCGTACGAAGTGGAATTTTCAGTACCTTGATACTTTTTGACCGAATTAATGCCTAGGATTTTCTCATTAGGCTGATACTGAGAGGGGAAGAGAAAACAATGCGCAAGGAGAAACTGGACAATAGAGTACCGCACAAAAGAAACTTGGGGAAGAGAAGTCCTTGCCGCTCTATTCGTTCCAACTATATGTAAACTTTATTTTATGCATACGATAATAACTTCTGTTTTTCTCACATGAAGTTCACGCAAGTTTTAATAATAATAATGGTAACAATATACTCCTGAATTTATAGGCCCATACCATTTTTACAGATACGGTTATAACAATTAATCGTGAAAAATCTCCGGTAATACTTTCTTTTACAAAAACTTTTTACCATATCCTTTTCATTACAGGTAGTGAAAATCCGCAGACTGTAAAAAAGAAAGCTTCACACCACATACGAATGGTGCACTTTGAGTTAAAGTCAGAATTTTTATTATGCTTTTAGGTTATCTGGCAGAAACGAAAGTCCTGTCTAATGGGTACGTAAAAGCATCACTCAAGGAGAAGAGGAGGTAACTCAGCAACTTCCTTCTCCAAAAAAGTAATGGTGGCCAAATTACTCAAATGCTTTAGTTTGACGGATCATATACTTTCAGCGAAGTGTCACGGCAGATTTAATGTGTTTTTCACAGGACAGGTATCTCCAGTTTCATTGAAACGTCAGAATACACTGCAAGGACAGCAATAAATGGTACTGATAACGATATATCATCTGCCTGATGAAACGACCTGCTTTTGTTTGTTCATGCTAAATTAGACATGTGTCCACCGTAGCTGCCATAATGCTCTGCATCGCGCCTAATAGCTCGGTGAACATCAAGCAGATTTCTTTGAATTTCGAGGTCGAGTCAAAGAATCCGCTTCCGTAGATAAAGTTGTAAGTATTTTTCTGAATTCTTGTATACTGTTTACAGTTACAGTGAAAGAAATGGCGCCAGCCAATGAAACACTGGATTAATTAATGTCAAAAGGCTTCGAGGAAGTATCTTCATGTGATGCTATGAGGATGTTCATCGCATTTTGCACGGTTGCAGAGGAGTTGCTTGAAGACTGATGCAGTGATATTTAGAAGTAGTACTGATGAAGTATCGTAGTTCCAATCTAATTGCAGGTTTCCAAGATTCTATTTACAATAAGAACAGAGAAAACAGAGGGCGGGATACCAAGGCACATAGAGGTTAATTATGTGTAAATTTTGACTTGTGTACATGGTGTCATGCATACCGTTAAATGTGCAGTCCTAAGTTTCGCGCGTATATTCTTAAGAAAATATGCCACTCACTGCGTTTTGGAAATGCTTTCTTTGAGGGGCAGGATCTAAAGATTTCTCCATTAGCGGTGGTAATAAGTGGGAGGTATAGCTGGACAACCTGATTGACGAAGTAGTCCTAATTGTCGTAAACTTGACCATACAGTGTAATGGAAATTGTGAGGATTTACCGATGAAGATTGCTGATGCAAAGAACCAAAGATCTCATGTAATGCCGGACTGTATAGGATCCCGTCTGCCCTCCTAAACGGGGGTGGTGAATACACACCATTGGTCCCTACGAAGCCATTCTCAGTATCCCTTACTAAGACACGCTGCCCTGGCTGCTGGAAGTTGCCATGAGTACCTCCCACGTATAAATCTGACCCGACGTCAAGTATTCACAACTATCGTCCCACAAATATTGCATCCGTGGTCTCTCGTATTATGGAGGTGGTCGTACAAGTAATTGCTGATTGTATGGTCGCACATCAGCTACTTTCCCCTACACGACATGGATTCTTAAAATGTCGCCCATTTGGCACCTGCTTACTGGGTTATTTTGAGGTCATCCGCAAACAAGATGAAGGCCTCCTCGTAACTGCTCTATTTTTTG